TATGTATATGTGCGCGCATGCGCGCACCACTCGCATGTACTTGTGTGGTGTACCTGCTGTCCCCTGCTTAACTTGTGCCATCTTCCCCAATTGGAATGCACGCACTCATTCGCACCACACGTCCAACCACACGTCCAACCACGCCGCCAATCATACCCCCCCTGCCACCTGTTGCTGTCTTTCTTCCCCCCTCCTCCGCCACCAGCTGCCGTTGTCGGCTACCAGGATGCGTTTGTGCCTGCGCACGACTTCTTCACGTCCTATCTTGATGAGGAGCCACGCCTTGGTTGTGCACGCTGCTCATGTTCGCCCCTGCCCCTGCTGTGCTGGTGTTGGTGTTGCGGGCTTGCGTGTGCATGTGCGTGAGCGTGTGAGCGTGTGCATGTGCGTGTGAGCGTGTGCATGTGTATGAGTGATGTTATGACCGAGTGGTGTTTGAGCACATGCACAATTCAGCGCATGCACACCATAGCAGGCACCCCCTCCCCCACATGCACACTCGTGGCTCACGCGTGATGTCATTCAACGTGTCTGTTTATGGTGCCGAACCTGTCTGCAGTGCTTGCGCAGTTGGCGTTTCTGGACGAAGGTTTGCATGTGAACGTGTCTGCGTTTATCCTGTGGAACATGGTGTCACTGGATGAGCTGCGAATGCCGTTGAACGAAGCCAACAGAATCAAGGCCACAGCAAGCGTTATCATTCGCGCGCGCTCCCAGGTGACCACCAATGTGCCCGTTCTCCACACACACACACACACATGTGTACACATACATGTGTACATACACACAGACACAGACACACACACACAGACACACACACACGCACACAACGCTGACTTGTCGATCACCCTGTTGCCTTATCAGGAGGACGTGCAGGAGCATCTGCGTGAGTGCGGAAAGCTGTATGGTGTTGGTCCCGATCCTGCCACCATTGCGCCCAAGAAGTTCGCCTTTGTACCAGGTTCGCTCTGCATGTGCGTGCTGTTGATGCCAGTGTTATATCTGTGCGTGTATGCATGTGTGTGTTTGTGTGCACGTGCATGCGCGCGCTTGAACGAGGCGAGAAGTAGCCCGGTTCCAAATATGACACGCTGCCCCAAAGCTATGGCAGCACAAACCAAACGTCACGTTGACCCCGCCCCGCTTCAACACACCACACGATCATGTACACTGCGTTCCTCTGCCAGGGACGCTGCAAGCACCACCGTCATCCAGCGAGGCGCTCAACAGGTCCAAGTCCGTGTCGGTGTCATCGTCCCAGCCGCAGGGCGCACACACGCAACAGCAACAGCAACAACAGCAGCAGCAGCAGAGGTCAATGACGATGGGCGGGAAGCGGGCGTTCAAGCTACAGTCCACGCCTTCACCCGCGACACCAGCTGCGAGATCGGTGACGCCAACCCAGCAACAGCAGCAGCAGCAGCAGCACGATGGCAGCAACGAGTCGTCTTCTGCTGTGCATGGCAGTGGCAGTGGCAGCGGCGCGGCGTCAAAGAGCATGTCGCAGCGGTCGTCCCGGTCATCACTCGTGCTGACCCTCTCTGACTCGCACGACGACGCAACGACAACGGATGCAGAGCACCAGCACCAGCAGCCGCGGCAACATCAGCAGCATCAGCAGCAGCGAAGGTCTTCAAGGCGGGCATCATCTCGACAGCAACAGGAGCAACCGCCACTGCAGGAGGGGGATGAAGACAGGATAGAGCAGCGGACAAGGAGCACGAGCAAGAAGAAGCAGAAGGACAAGCAGAAGGACAAGAAGAAGGACAAGCAGAAGGACAAGAAGAAGGACAAGAAGAAGGACAAGAAGAAGGAGAGGGAAGTCAGCGAAGAGCAGCAGGGAGCAAGGAGGAGAGAAAGGAGGGAGGAGGCGGCGTACGGGAAGCAAGTCGATGAAGCGGAGCACAGACTCGGACGACGGGAAGAAGGAGTGCGTCATCTCTTGATGTCGTCATGTCACAACGCGTGCGTGTGGGTGGGGGGTGTCAAAAGGGAAGGACGGCTGGTCGCTGCAGTGGCGATGCGATGGGTCGCTCGCTTGCATGTTGTTGGTGGCGGTGGACAAGACGACGGCGATCCCATGTCGCGTGCATACGTTCTGCTTGTTTGTTTTGTTTGTTTGTTTGTTTACATTTCCTGGTGCTCTGGCACTGTGTGGCACTGTTTGGGCCAGTCCGAGGGCAGTGACGAAAATTGTCCATATTTTGCATAAACGATCTTCATGAGCACATTTTTCTGCCTGCAAAGCGCGCACAGCAACATCAGTAACGAACGTGCAATGGTGCATTGACCGTGCTGAGGTGCTTTGATCGACAAGCCAGGAAGCACGGAAGAGCAAGCAAGTGAGGGGAAACGATGGTGATGATGTCGCTGAAGCCCGTCGTGGGCTTGGTGGGTGCTGGCGTGCTTGCCAGCGAGCTCATCCACCAATACAGGTGCCGCAGCGCCCTGCGCTCTGCTCAAGGTTGGTTGGTGCACGTTCGTGTGAGTGCTCTGTTTGTGTGCATGCGTGTGTGCGTGTGTGTGCTCTGTTTGTGTGCGTGCTCTGTTTGTGTGCGTGCGTGTGTGTGCGTTCGTGTGTGCGTGCGTGTGCATGCGTTCGTGTGTGCGTGCGTGTGCGTGCATGCGTGCATGCGTGCGTGTGCATGTGTGTGTGTGTACGTATGCACGCTGCTTGCGGCTGTGTTTGCTGGAGCGCTTGTGCAGCGCTTGCCAAGTGCTTGCCCAGCGCATGCATGCATGCACGTTGTTGGTGTCCGTGTTCCTTATGTCACCTTTGGCTGCAGTGCTGTCCTTGTTTACATGACGACTCTCTGCGTTCATGTGTGTATGTGTGTGTGTGTGTTCACCTGTCTTCCTTGTGCGGCTCATGTTGAGCGTTGCAGGGCGGTTTCTTCCGGCCAAGCCTGGCGAACGCGTGGTGGTCCTGGGTGCCGGCATAGCAGGCCTGACCGCCGCGCGAGAGCTGAGCGAAGCAGGCATGGACGTCATTGTCGTGGAGCGGCGCCACGGTGTGGCGATGGAGACCTCTGCTGCAAACGCAGGCACCCTCAACTTCACAGCCCGCACGATGGTGGCATCTCCAGAGAACGTCAAGTACGCGCTGCAGAAGATGTGGCACAGCTTTCTTGGTGAAAAGCCCGAGCTGCAAGAAGAGGCTGTGGAGCACGTCGCAACGCCGCCACAGCATCAGCACACACAGCAAGGGAGCCGCATCGATGCAGCCCCTGGTCACGCAGCAACAACAGCAGCGACTCAAACAACAGAAGCAGATGCGAATCACCAGCAACAGAAACACCCGCACAAGCAGCCGCAAAACCAGAAACAGAAGCAGCCGCAGGAACAGCAACAGGAACAACAGCATCACCACCACCGTCTTCACCACCACCACCACCACCACCATGGGGATGAAGGCATTGTGACAGAGCTGATTGAAGACTTTCGGTACTTCTTCTTTGAGCGGCGGCTCCTGTTTACGCTGTCGTTCTGGAAGTGGGCTGCAAACTTTGTCTCGCTGGCGCTGACACACACAGAGCAGCGCAAAGCGTTTGTGGACGACCTTGTTGCCGAGAGCCTGGCTGCGCTACAGGACACGCGCCGCACCACCCGCATGCCCTTCGAGTATCGACGGGCGGGCTCACTGTACATCCACTCGGATGCAGACCTGTTCCACCAGCGGGCACGGGAGGGGCTGCTGGCTGGGCGCGGGGAGGTGGCCGTGACGGCGGCCAAGGCGCAGACGATGGAGCCCAGCCTGAGCAATCTCACGTTTGTGGGCGCCATGCACCGCCGCAACGATGCCGTGGGCGACTGCCAGCTGTTCTGCCGGCACATGAGCGAGTGGCTGACGGCGCGCGGCGTGGCCATCCGGTTTGGGCTGACGGCAACAGATGTGATGCTTGACGGCGACGGGCGTGCGTGCGCAGTGCAGCTGTACAACACGCAGCACGGGTCGAGCGAGCAGCTGCAGTGCGACCACGTCGTCGTCTGCTGCGCGTGCGACAGCGCGACGCCGCTCGCCACCACGGGCCTGTCGTGGCTGCCCATCATGCCTGTGCGCGGGTACACGCTGACGGGACGGGCAAACCAGGACCCGCGCAAGTGCCCCACCAACTACCTGCTGTTTGAGGAGCCGATTGAGATGGCGGTGACGCGGCTCGGCGACCGGATTCGCTTCTCGTCGTACGCGGAGATCACGACGGCGCTGGAGCCCAAGGAGGAGCGACTGAAGGATCTCCGGCGCATCGTGGACCGCCTGTTTCCAAACGCGTTTGACGAGGACGACCCCGATGCGCAGGAGTGGGTTGGCAGGCGCCCCATGACGTCAGATGCGCTGCCCATCGTCTCCCAAACGCACATTCCAAACGTGTTTCTGCACACGGGCCACGGCGCAGACGGCTGGCGGTGGTCGCACGCGACGGCGCGGGTGCTGCGGGCGATTATGCTTGACGAGCGCTCGCCACTTGACCCGCGCTTCCTCGCTCTCGACCGGTTCTGGTTCCTCTGATGCACTGCCCGTGTTGTGTGTGTATGTGGCTGTGTGTGTGTGTGTGTGTGTGTGTGTGTGTGTGTGTGTGTGCATTCGGACATATGTGTGTGTGCATGCGCGCTTGTCACAGTTCTCCTGGATGTTATTTGAATTCCTTCTTCCAGAGCTCTGCTGCTCTCCGAACAGTTTCCCTAGTGCACAGTTCCACATACAGCCCTTCTCATTCATATGCGTGCGTGAATTGCAGAGACACATGTAATGACACAGCGAGTAAGTCACGCCTCACAGCAGAGACGGTTCACACATTCACCCACACACACACCACACACACACACACACACACACACACACACACACACACACACACACACACACACACACACACACACACACACACACACGCACACACACATGCGCGGGGTCTCTCGCGATGGCACATGGCGGGTCAGCTAAGATTGTGTATTGTTAAAATGGACTGCCGCAATTGCAAGTGTGCAACGGGACAGGTACACGCCATCTACCGCGAGGGGCAGCAAACTGCACACACGCACGCACGCACACACACACACACACACACACACACACACACACACACACACACACACGCACGCACACACACACACACACACACACGCACGCACGCACGCACGCACGCACACACACACACACACACACACACACACACACACACACACACACACACACACACACACACACACGCACACACACACGGAAACGTATGCCAGCGACCGGCGCTGGACAGTAAGAATCAACACCACACGACCATCTGCGTGCGGGTTGCATTGCAAGCCACAAGCCACTGCCACTCATATGTTACGCGGACCAAGGGAGAAGGGGGAAAGGGTTACACAAACGCTAATGTCAACACACACAGACACACAAACAGTGGAAGAAGAACAGATACATAGCCACGGCAGCTGCAGCCACAGCAGCGCTTGCGCACACACCAGCAAGCACAGGGGAAGGTGACAGGAACCATGAAAAAAAAAACACGGGGCACACACACACACACACACACACACCGCACCCACCTCCAAACGCACAGTCACACGCACCCACAGGAGAAGAAGGAGGAGAGGCAAGAGACAACACGACGCTCGAGCGACGGTAACGGCAACGGCCAAGGTGGAGTAGTGTGACATGTAATGACAACAACATCACGCAAAAGAAGGTGCAGCCACATGTGCGGACGGGCCAGGTCGGCTAGTAAAGCTGGGTGCCAAGCCGCCTAGTTCGCTTAGTTTGACGTAAGCGAACATCAACGGCTTAGCGGTGTCCATTAGGACAATTACAGAAATTGAACCCCCGTCTTCCAACTCGTTTCCGAGCGCGCTAACGACTGCGCTATCGCACGGGTTTTTGCTCCTGCTGGTGATTGACGCCCTCAATTCGTTTTTCAAACCGCAGTTACAGCGTTGTCTGCTTGGAAGGACTGCACACAGGCGGTTGTAGCGGCGCGCCAGCATCGCCCGGAGTCGTGCACACAGCGGCAGACACGCCGCGCCCACTCTCGTCCACGCCGCTGCCGTGTGGTTGCAGTGGTGGCGCCGACCGCGGGTGGTGGTGGTGGTGGTCCACGCTTGCAGGTGCGTGGCTCTCCTTCTGGTCGCTGTGATCGCCATGGCCAGCGTTCTCAAACGTGAAGACGGGGCGGCGAGGCGAGGAGACGGGGTCCGTGGCTATGCTCGCTGTACTGGCCGTCGCTGAGGACGCTGCCGTTGACGGCGGTGTGGCTGGTGTGGGTGGAGAAAACGGTGGCAGAGGCCCCAGCCCGTCTTCCACCGAGAGTGTGGCTGCGATGGCAAGGCGTGGTGCTACGCCTGTGCGGCGGGAGCTGTGTCGAGGGGACGACGTGAGGTTGGCGGGCGCTGTCGACGGCCGCCGCAACCCATAGGCGACGTCTGCTGCTTCGTCATCCACATCAGCATCGACAGCATCGACAGCATCGACAGCATCGACAGCATCGACATCATGGTTGTCATTGTGATGGCCCGAGGGCGCACACAGCTCCGCGTGTTGGTTGACAGTGGTGGTGAGGAGCGTTGCAAACCCGCCGTACCCGCGTCGCCGCGTGGCTCGCCGGCGGCCGCCGCGCCTGGGCACGTCCCGACTCACGCCCCCGCCATTGAAGCGGTCGAGGTCGTGGTCATCCGACGCCGCTCCGGTGGTGGTGGTGGTGGTGGTGGTGGTGGTGGTGGTGGTGCCGAGATGGACATCGGCACTGGTGTGCCGTCGCAGCTTGAACGCGGCCTGCGGGCTGCTGTCGTGGCTTGCGCCCCTGCGTGTCCTGTTGTTGGAGGATGGCTGTTGCGTGGCTGGAGACTGCGCGCCGCCGACGGTGAGCATGTCGATCGCAGGCAGCGATGACCGGCTTCGTGCGTGGCCGTGTTGGCGTGGGTTTGGTGGCGGGGAGGAAGGGGATGAGGCGGACGTGAACAGGGCGGCAGGCTTTGGACCTTGTGCGTCATCTCCTGGGCTTGGCGCAGCTGGCGACGACTGGCGACGGACAGCAACCTCATGCCAGAAGGCTTCAAAGTTGCAGCGTCGCAGCGCATCGTCCAGCGTCGAGTCTGCTCTGGCAGCGACTCTGCGTGGCATGGCTGTGTTTGCTTGTTTGTTTGTGTTTGCTTGTTTGCACTGGTGCTGCTTGGTGTTGATGAAGCCGTGTCACGGTGTTTCGGTGGGGACGACAGAGGAGTGGTCACGCATGTGGCGCGAATGTAAACACCGACAACTCGCTTGCTTGCTCGCTTGTCGCAGTGTTGCTGTCTGTGACGACAATAAATGAAATGAAGCACACAGCTGTGTGCGCAAAATGTTGACAAAGTTGGGGGGGGGGAGGGGAGAAGCGCAAGGGAGCTTCTTGTGTGCTGTGATGTGAGGAGGGAGAGGAAGCCTGGAAGCAGTAGAAGCCCGTCAGGTTGTGCGGCAAGTGGGTGCTGGGTTTGTGTGCGATGTATTGTGACAGGTCTTTGTGTGTTGGTGTGTTGGTTTGTTGTTGGTGCACCAAGATGGAAGAAGACACACACGAAAGCAGAACAAGGAAATGGATCGACAGCTTTGCTTGCTTGCTTGTTGTTCGCTGAGCACTTGCTGGCTTTGTAGCTGTGTGTGACTTGCTTCCCTCACAAAAAGCCTTGCTGCGCGTTGCGTGGGAACGGTTTGCCCCGCGCAGCAACACCAAGGATTGCACACGAACGTAACATACCCAACCATTCGAAGTAGCGAAGTGGCGAAATAGTAGCGAAGTGTGATCCGCACGAGCACACGCAGAGCGCACGCACGCGTGCAAACACAGAACCAACAACAAGCCACACGAAAAGGAAGGAAGAGCAACGAAGGACGCAGAGAGACAGGTGGGTCAGCGCGAGCACCACCCACCCACGAGCCAAGCAACCACACTGAACGTCAACGCAGAAGGGGAGGAGCACTGCCCACCCTTTCCACACCACATATCATGAGTAAGGGCTGTGATTGGCTTCTTGTACTACTGCTTACGTGTCAGGTTCACAATGTACAACTATACATGCACATGCTACGCTACCCCTTCACCCACCATCTGAGCGACTTTGGGAAAAGACACCCCGCACACTTTCACACGCACACATACACACACATCAGTCAACGACGTGCCATCAATGTCACACACACACACACACACACATTCGTGTACTACACATTACTTTACGTTACGTTACGTTTTGTCACACTGGACCACGACACATGTAATGTGATGTGATGTGATGTGATGCATCTACGCTAACAACGCCACTCCGCCTCCCGTCTCCAATGACCATCAACGCCTCAGCACTTCCAGGACCTGCGATGCCTGCCGCATGGTTGGTCGCTCTTCTGGCCGCCCCGCCCAACACGCCTGCATCAGCTGCACAAATCTTGGCTCGTGCGCCAGCGGAGTGCGATCGGTGGTGATATCACCAGGCGCCTCCAGCGGCTCATCGTGTTCCGTGTCATCGGCTCCGCGCCCGCCCTGCACGCCACCGTGGTCATCAGTGCGGTCGGCAAATTGCACATGTGCGCCGCCAACGCCACCGTTGTCCCTCTTCTGCAGGTGCACGTGCGCCTTCGCTTCGTCACCGCCATTTGCGTCATCTGACAAGTCCGCCAGAAGGCCGCCAGCACCAGCGACTGCAGTGTCTGCAGTGGACAGGCCTGCGCTTGGCCGGACCCCATCGATGATTTTCTCACGCAGCGTCCACGTGGATGTGTCATGGAGCTCTTCGTACGGCTCCCGCCGCGTGGCAATCTCATACAGCACAATGCCCACGCTGCACAACCGCGTATGTTTGTGTGAGTGTGAGTGTGAGTGCGAGGAACGTGTGTGTGCGTGTGCGTGTGTTGTTGATGGGTGAATGTGTTTGATCGATTGATGTGTGTGCGTGTGTGAGTGAGTATGGGAGAGCGTGTGCTTTGTTGTGTGCGAGTTTGTGAGTTTGCGAGAGTGTGTGAGAGTGTGTGGTTTGTTAGTGTGGGCGTGTGTCGCTTGCAGTTTGTCGTGTGAGGAAAGGCACAGCGTGCCTCAAGACATCAACACATACATAATGTGGTGCTCGAGTGCATGCCTTGGCAATACCTGTACACGTCTGCTGGCGGGCCGTACGGCTGACTGGACAAAATTTCCGGCGCCGTCCACAGGAGCGTGCCAACCGCAGTCGTCATGGTGGCAGACGCAAAGTCCTGCATGCATGCATGCATGCATGGATGGAAATGTGTGTTGTTGTGTCAGTGCAGTCAAGGAAGAACAAGAACAAGAGGAACAAGAAGAAGTTAGAGAAGGAAGGCAACGAACACGACCTTATCCACGTTGCCTCACGCAAATCAAGATGCACATACACACACAGGGAAACGCACACACACGCAGGGAAACACACACACACACACACACAAACACGCACACACACACACACACACACAACACGCACACACACACACACACACACAACACGCACGCACACACACACACACACACACACACACACACACACACACACGGCGCACATTCACACCATGGCAGCGACAACGTCAGTGGCCTGCTCCTGGCCGCACAGCCGTCCCGTGCCTGTATTGAACGTAGCAACAGGGGCATCACACGTGCACATCGGGTGAGCAAGAACAAGGCAAGAACAAGGCAAGAACAAGGCAAGAACAAGGCAAGGACAAGGCAAGAGCACGGCACGAGCACGGCAAGAACAAGCCAGACGTGCTTCCACTTGTCGTTGAGGGGAAGAACACATGAGGAAGTACAGTCGCGTGTGTGCGCATGTTTGCGCGTGTATGCGTTTGCATGTTTGTGAAAACTGACCAAAGTCTGCGACCTTGACGACCCAGTTCTCAGACACCAGAAGGTTTGCACTCTGCAAAGGCGCACGTGGGGGGGGGGGGGGGAAAAAAGAGTCTGCGAGTCAGCAAGACCAAAGCACGATGGTGGCACAGCGGGTTCACAGGAGCCGCAAGAACAAGAAGGGCAAGGGCCAGCACAAAAACAACAGCAGCAATGGAGCAAACCTTGATGTCGCGGTGCATGCGTGGGGGCTGAAGTTCATGCAGAAACATGACACCATGCACCATGTCCTCTGCAAAGCCTGGAGGAACCAACAAGAAGCATCACAACAACACACGCAAGGATTGCATGCAGGCAGTGTTGTTCAGCACAAGCAGAGGGGTATGCACAGACACCACAAAAGTATAGACAGCAGGCACAGACGCAGATTGATGCCACGAACATGGCACGTGCGCGAGTGCGTACACGGAACAATTATTGAGCGTGCGTGAGCGAGAGCAGCTCGTGCGTGCGTGCGTGCGTGTGTGGTTGTGTGTGTATGTGTGTGTGTGTGTGTGTGTGTATAAGTGGGCGGGCCACGGTGCAAGCGGCTGGACAGAATACAATGACCACGATGAGGCAAACTGAAGCGCATGCAGACAGCACATGACACGTGAATCCGTGCTGTGCAACACAAATCAAATGTCGCAATCCACTCACCGAGCAGGCGACTGTACGACAGCTCAACATTGCTCTGGAGAGGGGCAGGATAGCGGTGATGGGGTGTGAGGCAATACGGACAACGACCCGCTGATCACGAATCGTTCGCATTCGCACACAAAACAAGCAAGAAGAATTGCAGACACACACACACACACACACACACACACACACAAAGAATGGTGGCTGCTAACCTTGAGAATGGCAGAAAGGGAGCCGCGCGCCATAAACTCCGTGACGAGAAAGGGCCCTTCATCCATCACACCAGCACCATAGAACAGCACAACTGGTTGTGCATTCGCAAACGTGTGTGTATGTGTGTGTTTGTGTGTGTGTGTGTGTGTGTGTGTGTGTGTGTGTGTGTGTGTGTGTGTGTGTGTGTGTGTGTGTGTGTGTGTGTGTGTGTGTGTGTGTGTGGCAGTTGTGGGATGTCGGGGTGATCGAGATGTGAGCGCGCGCATACATGCCATTCATTCCGACGCATGGTCTAATGCAAATCAAACTATCACATGCTCTACTAGGTGCAAACAGCAGCCACAACGTGTGTGTACTGCGCATAACCTGACACGACGTACTGTTTCTGTGCCTGAGGGAGCGGATGAGGGAGACCTCGGCATCAAAGTCATCGATGGCGTGTTCGTCAAGCGACAGGATGGACGAGCGAAGCTTCTTCACAGCAACCTCCCGATCCTGACACACACACACAGATAGACAGACACACACACACACACACACACACAGACACGTATGTGGGCATGGAGTGAGGAAAAGCATTAACGAGCCACTGCAAACAAAGCAGCAAACCAAAACATATGTGGTACATGTATGTTGCGCGCGGTATCAGCACCTGCCACGCGGCGAGCCAGACTTCGCCATATGCGCCCTCGCTGCCGCCGTCAATCCGACGCAGAAACGTCAGATCATCAGGGCTGTACCAGCAAAACACGAAAGGTGTGTATGTGCGAATGCGTGTGTGTAGAGTTTGTAGAAGCACGTGTCAAAAGGAGCAGAAGCAATGCGTGAGATCACCGGCAAAAACAAGAGAGGAACAGGGGCGTGAGAGTGAGCACGTGCGCCCGTGGTTGCAAGTGGTGGGTGCGATGTGACGTCAGAGGGTGTAAGCAGACAGAAACAGGCGCATTTTTGCACGCAGGATGCAGAACAAAACAAAACAAGCTAAACGTGACAACGAGTGACTGGGCAGGTACTGCAAAAAAAAAAAAAAAAAAACAAACCCATGTCGTCCAAGTGCCTCAAACCCATCAACATCGTTGCCATTCGTCGCCCAAAATACGTTTACGTACATGATCTCCCAGGCGCGTTTAAGCTCGCTCAGCTCGACGCGGGACTCTTCAATCAGGCGCTCCTGCAGGTCCTGCAACTTCTGCATGCGCGAGAACCCGCGCTTCACCCGGCGCGTGATGAAGAACACGGCGACAGCTACAACGGCGGCAGAGACGGTGGTGCCAGCCAAGATGGCAGCAACATGCACGTCGCACCGCGATCCGGCCCAGCCCGAGTTGCACAGGCAGTCAAACACCTGCGTGGTGACATCCAGCACACACGCGCCGTGGACACACGTGCCCGGACGACACGCGTTGCACTCCTCTTCCTCGACTGCGCCCTCGCCAACGGTAGTGCTGATGCCGGGGCACTGCACGCAGCGCGTGGCGCCTGCGATGATGATGATGATGATGATAATTCATGATGATGAGTGTCGTGGCGGAGAAGCGAGGTGGGTGTTGTGCGTTTTGGCGAGAAACGAATGCTGGCGCTTGGTGTTGGTGAAGAACAACCACGGGAACAACGGCACACACGCAAGCACGCAAGAAAACAAAGCCACCTCCTCCGTGCTACGCACCGGCGTCGTCGTTGTATGTTCCCTCTGGGCAGGGGCGGCACACGTACTCGCCAAATACGGGCGAGAACTCGCCCGCGTTGCAGCCGAGCAGGGTGGTGTGCTGGTTCTGCATTGGCCGCAGCTGCTGGGCCGTCAGCGCCGCGCCGCCAGCAACAGTGAACACGGGCGGCTGCGTCTCCCTGTGCGTGTGTGTGTGCGCGCGTGTGGTGGTAGAGTTGGGGGGGGGGAAGAAGCGGATAGGCCGTTGTTCATGAGCTATGGCGTGTGTGTGTGTGTCTGTGTGTGTGTGTGTGTGTCTCTCTCTCTATCTGTGCGTGCATGTCTCTCTCTCTCTCTCTGCGTGCGTGCGTGCGTGTGACTGTGACTGTGACTGACAGGACAAACGCGGCCATCCCGAAGCGGTCACTGGAGGGGAGGTTGGCCATGCTCAGCTCGCGCCACGACCATCCAATCTCAGAGTGCTGTAGGGTGAACAAGTCCCGTGTCTGCGAAGAATTGAGGAGAAACCAAGCGTGAGGTGACGTGGGAGTCGGCTGCAGTGCTTGCCAAAGCGACAACAGAGAAGGCATTCGTACGAAGGAATATACAGAGCAGACAAAATCACACAGAAAAAACAAACAACCAAACAACCAAACAAACAAGCAAACAAACAAACAAACAAACAAACAAACAAACAAACAAACAAACAAACAAACAAACAAACACACACACACACACGCACACACACGTGTCCACCCCCAGGGCTTGAGGTGGCGTGACCTACCGCGACCCAGGATCCGTTGTTCTGCTCGAGGCCGCCGTGCACAATGAGGAGGTGGTCAAGCAGCACGCTGTACCCGGCAAAGAACCCAGTCGGCCTGCGCACACAGACGCAAGCAACAAGCACACCACAGCACATCGGCACAAAGACAGCGGGGTAGAAGGAAAGTGCACACGTCACGCCATGAGAGCGAGGCTTTGACGACGAAATGCTGATGGGTGACACACAACACACACCCGACGCAACGTAACATGCAGTCACACACACACACACACACACACACACACACACACACACACACACACACACACACACACACACACACACACACACACACACACACACGCGCGCGCGCGCGCGCACACACACACACACGCAGACACATTGCGGGTGGCGTACGTACAAGTCGCTTGCGCCGCCAAACGTGGCCAGGGTGTCAGCATTGAGCTTGACGAGACACGCGCCGCCGGCATCATTGTTCAGCTGTCCATTGAGCAGCTTCCACGCGTTGGTGGCAAGATCATACTCCCAAAGCCCGCGGTTCCGCTCGCCAGAGACTGTCTGCCCGCCCACAATGTACGCCTTCTGTCCGCTGACGGCATAGCCGGGCAGCACAAGCTCAAGCGGCACAACACGGTCGGAGACGCTGGGCGACCAGAAGGGGCCTGCGGTGCCAAAGCGCCACGTGTCCTGGAGGAAGGAGAGCGGGGCGGCGCCGCCAAACATGACGGCCGCATCGCTAGCACCACCGCCACGGTGGGTTTGCGTGATGCTGAACCCTTCGCGGGCAGGTGGCACGATGGATGCAAAGTTGATGGCGTTGAAGCCCCAGTCAACAGACTGCACGCCGCCGGCGTCGGTCGCGGTGATCTTGAGGTGGTAGTAGGCGCGACGGTCGCCCTGCAGCCCGCCAATCGCAATCAGGTCGTCTCCGATGGCGACGGTGTTGCTGCCGCCAAAGTAGCGGCCGGGCGCGGTGACGGTGAGGTTGGCAACGCGGCGCCACTGGCCGCTCGTGCACGCACCGTCGAACACGGTGAGCTCCCAGACGTCGGGGAGTTGGCCCTCGGGGCATCCCGCGCTGTCTCCCGCGACACGGCAGCCGGACAGCATGACGATTCGGTTGCGCACGATGGCGGTGATGTGGGCGAAGCGCGCAGGCGGCGACGGTGTGCCTGTGAGCTCTGTCCAAACCTGCGTCTCCGGGTTGTACAGCCAGGTGTCGCCCAAGGGGGTGTTGTTGGCGCCAAGGCCGCCGAATACAACGCCGCAGCGCGAGAGCACGTCGTTCTGCGGGGCAACCTGGTTCATGGTGTGGAGAAGCCGGGGCGAGGGCCACGGTGCGTCGGGATCTGTTGGTTTTGGTATCTCCGTGATGGTCAGCGCTGGTTCTCGACCACGCACTTCCAGCAAAGTGTCGCTCGGCACCATTGCCACGCTACTATTTTCGTCTGCAGGGACATAGCCGCCGAAGATGAACGCGCGCATGTGCACGACGAACAGATCTGTGATGGCGTGGAAGCCACGCGGTTCTATGCCCTGTGGCGTGGGCAACTGCACCCAGTTGTCATCGCGCAAGTTGTATGACCACAGGTCGCCGAGGGCGAGCAGCTGGTCCTCGTCGTTACTCTCCTCGTTCTCGGTGAGACCGCCGTACAGGATGACGACGTTGTTGGAGGGCGACATGAGCGATGCGCCCACGCGTGGTGCCGGGATCACACGCGAGGACCCGGCCAGGGTCCATGCGTTCAGAACAGCGCGGTTCTGCGCGATGCTCGGGGATGCCAGCAGCGTTGTGCATGTCATAGCCATCGTCAACACTTTCAGCAGCAGGCAAGCGACGTCCCTCGGGCGTTGCCGCCGGTGGCGTTGTCGTTGTCCCTGTGCTTGTTGCGCACCCATCGTCATCTCTGCCGTTTTGGCAAGGACGAAGCTGTGGTGTGATGTTGTGCTGTGATGTATGTGTAGAGTAATAGCTGTGTGCTGTTGATGGTTTGTGGTGATGGTGATGGGGGGTTTTGCTATGTATGCGTGTCTGTGCGCGCGCTTGTTTGCGGCTGAGCCAGCGGCTTGCCTTGCTGTTCGTTTGGTGTTGATTGATGATTTGACAACACTGACAGCGCTGGCTGGAGGTGGAGGGGGCTGGGTGCTGCGTGGTTGTTGGAAGACAGCGGTTGAAAGCAAACCCAGCGAGCAGCAAGCGTGCGCGAGGCAGCAGGGTACGACAGCATAAAAAGTAGCAATGGCAACTGCTGCTGCTGGTGTTGTTGTGCTTCTTGTTGTTTGTGCAGCGGTGGGGTGTGTTGGTGGAGATGGAGGACGAGTGGCCGGCAGCATCAGCAGCGGTGGTGGTGGCATCCAGCTTAACGTGTCCATCACAGGCACCGGAACACACAGGTGTGTGTGTGTGTATCTGTGTGTGTATGATTGTGGTTGTGGCAGGTTTGTTGTTTTGTGTGTGTGCGAGAGTGTGTAATGTGTGAGTACGTGTGTGTGTGCTTGGTGTGTGATCGTTGGCAAGCATGGACATGTACATGAACATGTGTTCACGACACGTTGCCACACTCACCATGACGTGCTTGCGCTCGTTGCTGTTTGGGTTAGGACTTTGGTCATTGATGCTACGGTGACAGGGATACTGGAACCCAGCAGCGATGACGCTGAGGATGTTGTCATTGCAAATGCATCATCGCTTCTGCTCTTTCAACTATCGTCGGCGACATCGGCCACGTTCTTCGATGACGACGAGTTGCAGCGTGCGTGTGGACCAACCGCGTTCTTGCAGGTCAGCATGCTTCCGTTGGTGTGTTGAAGCGCTTTGTGATAAACACCATGACAACGTTTGTTCCTTTTTGTGTGTGCGTGTGCGTGTGTGTGCCGTGTGTGTAAAACGAGCCGAGTCACCGTCATGTTTGTGGTGGGTGGGCGTTTGCTCGCGTGAGCTTTCTCTGCTGCACCACGTTCTCGCCTCAACCTCACCCAGTGTTTCTTTGGCGCAGGCACGAACGCTTGGACATGTGGACATTGAGGCGCCAGAATGGTTGTCGGAGCCGTGCGCTGCTTGGGTGGTGACCAGTGCAGGGCCCATGACAGCAACAGCGACAGATGCAACTGGTGCAGGCACACCCGCTGCACCACCACCAATGAGAACGGCAGCCGAATCAGCAGCCACAGCACCAGCACGTGTGCGAGCCGTCACAGTTCGCGTGCCGTTTCACACGCGCTACTGCCGACCACATCGCAGCGGGTACAGATTTTCAGCGGCGCCACAGGTGCGCGCGGCGTACCTGCTCCAACGACAGCACGACACGACGCCGACACGGCAGACGCGCGACACATCCACTGACATTCATTGGCTGGAACGTCTCGGCGAGTGCTTGCACGAGACCAAGTGCTCCACCTCCACGTGCATTGCCACGTCGTGCCTCCACCCCAACGGCCTGGCGCTGGTGTATGTGACTGAGACTGCAACGACTGCTGGCAGTGACCGTGGTAGGGACCAAGACGCCAGTGGCAGTGAAGGCGACAGCCAAGGCATCCGCATCCCAGTTGGTGTACCAGCACACGCCGACGCAGCAACCATGGCAACGCAGCTCGTTGTGTGGCTCGGGGTTGGCTTTGTCCTGTGGCATCAGTGGGGCGACCGCCTTGTCTCGTTCCACTCACGCCACGCCAAGGAGGACTGATGTGACGCCCCCCCCCACTATCTTCTGTGATCCCTGCACCTACGTTCCTTGCAACGTACACACGCGTTGTGCACACGCGCACTCTGATATCTATCCATGCTCTGCAAGTGCGCTCGCTCCTCGCCGCCTTTTGCTTGTCAACATCACCGCCATAGCTGCGGGTGGCGTGTTTTATGAATGATATAAATGAATTTTCCGCTGTTTTGCCCACCAAAACAAAACACCACCAGACTGCGGAGACGAGAAGGTGGTTTTGGTTGTTGGTCGTTCGTTGGTGGAGACAAAACAAAGGCAAGTAAGTGGGAGTGCGTGGAGAGCAACAACAACAACAACAACAACTGCCACGATGGCCAGCAAGGACCACCAGGTGGCGGCCCTGCGCAAGCAGCGCGAGGTATGGTTGCATGTGATGGCGGTTGCATGTGATAGCGGTTGCACGTGATGATGTTCTTGTGTGTGTGTGTGTTCATGTATGTGTGTGTGTGTGTGTGTGTTCATGTATGTGTGTGTGTGTGTTCATGTATGTGTGTTCATGTATGTGTGTGGCGCAGGTGAGTGACGAAGGTCACTCTGGCTGCGTGGTTTGACCCAAGCACGTTTAGCGTCCGGTGTGTGTATATGTGTGTGTGTGTGGATATTGACACTGCCATGTGTATGACGGTGCCGCTGCGGTTCTGCTGTTGTGTGTGTGTGGATAACAGACCATTCAGACCAAGACCTTCATCAAGTGGATGAATTCGCACCTGAAAGACCTCGGTTTGCAGGTGAGTTTGTCGCCAGGCTTTGAGAGGCGTGTGCATGCATGTGGATCACCACCGCCACCACCACCGCCACCACCACCACCTTGTGGCATTGTGCCTTTGCCAGTCTTTCTGTTGTGTTGATGCTCTACACGTCCCGCGTATCGACCCAGCCAAAAACACGCTGGCGCTCCTTTTCTCACTGCCCTTGTGCTTGTCTGCCGCCTCGGTTGTGTTCAGGTGGAAGTGCTTGATGATCTGCAAGATGGCATCTGCATCCACGCCACCCTTCAGAAGCTGGCCGACGAGCAATTTGTAAGCCCACATTTGTGCGTGTGTGTGCGTGTGTGTGCGTGCGTGCGTGTGTGTGCGTGTGCGCGCGTGTGTATATGTGTGTGTGTGCGTGTGATGCTCTGTAGCCCTGCGGCCAAGCGTGGTTGCTGTGTGAGTCAGCTTGTATTGTATTGTATCTCACGTGTAAAAACACACTTGCCTTGCTTTACATGACCTCGCCCGCAACTGCCGCCATTCATACCACCAGAAACTGCCCAGCAAGAAGCCGCGCATGCGCATCCAACAGATTGAGAACGTCAACGCCTGCCTCACCTTCATGAAGTCCAAGGAGGTGATGCAACGTGGTGGAGTGTGTGCCTTGCGCATGCGTGTGCATGTGCATGTATGCGTGCGTGTGTGCGTGTGTGCGTGCATGTGTGCGTGCGTGTGTGCGTGCGTGCGTGTGTGCGTGTGTGCGTGTGTGTAATTTGCTTCACCCCAGTTGCTGCCTCACCATCCTCATCACCCGAATACCAGATCAAACTGGAGGCGATTGGCGGGCAGGATATTGTCGACGGCAACGTCACCCTCACACTCGGCCTCCTCTGGACCATGGTCCTCTGTTTCCAGGTGCGGGCTCTCTGATGCTTGTTTGTGATCGCTTGCTCTCACACATTCGTGTTCATTCACACATTCGTGTTCACGCACACACATTCGTGTTCATTCACACATTCGTGTTCATTCACACACACACACACAGCTTGAGGAGGTTGAGGGTGAGGATGCGAAAAACGCAAAGGAGGCGCTGCTGCGGTGGTGCCAGCGCAAGACCAAGGGCTACCCTGGTGTAAAGGTCGAGAACTTCACCACCAGCTGGCGCGATGGTCTCGCTTTCAATGCTCTCATCCACAAGCACAGGCCTGACCTCATCAACTTTGATGCGCTCGATCCAAAGGACCCGATGTACGCTTGTGTGTGTTGGCGGTGATGTGTGTTTGTTTGTGGGCTTATTCGTGTTGCATGTGCGTGTGTGCGTGTGTTGTGTGTGAGTACTGCAGAGGAATGCACTCCACTCATCAAATACCTGGTGCCACAAACCTCCCTTGCCACAGCACGAACCTCAACAACGCATTCGACATTGCCGAGCGAGAACTTGGCATTACATCCCTCCTCGACGCTGAAGGTAAAGAAGTGCAACTGCTCGCACACACACACACACGCACGCACACACACATGCGAACATGTGCTTGCTTCATTCACAATTCATGTGTCTCCTGACAAGTGCACATTGCACACGCTCACTCGCTGCTCGCCACCGCCGCCACTGCAGATGTGCTTGACTTCCCCGACGACAAGTCGATCATGACATATCTGATTGCGTACTACCAGAAGTTTGCCAAGATGGAGCAGGACGACGTTTGGAAGCGGCGCCTCAACAACGTCCTCAACTTCCAGCTGCAGGTGCGGCCGCAAGCAAGACATAGCGCTTGATTTGGGAAGGCGAGGAACAGAGCGCCGTTGTGACGAACGTGCTTGATGCTTCATGCATCTGGAGATGTGCACAACCGTGAACTCACACACAAACACATACGCACACGCACACGCACACACACAATGATCACGTCTTTCATCACGACTTTTAGATGGAGCACGACGAGAACACGTTTGAGCTTGAGACGGGGGATCTGCTGCAGTGGGTGCAGGACAAGATTGCGTGGCTGCAGCGGCGCGACTTCCCCAACTCGCTCGAAGGCGTGCAGGAGGCCATGCACGACTTTAAGGAGTACCGCGTGAAGGAGAAACCACCCCGATTCGTTGCAAAGGGAAATCTCGAAGCGGCGCTCTTCACCATCCAGATGAAGCTCAGGAGCGGGAACCGAGTCAGATACCAGGTGCCGCCACCATCACGGGCCTGTGCTTGTGCTTGTGCTTGTGCGTTTGTGCGTGGGTAGGCCATGTTCCAACGTTGTCTTTTCGTTACCTGACCATCTTACTCTTTTCATTGCCACCACTGAAGCTCAGTTGTTTCGCACGCACAATCACACACACACACACACACTTACTCACACTTACTCACACACACACACACTCGATACGTGGCATATGTGCAGGTGCCGCAAGGGCGCGATGTCGCCGCCATCAACTCGCACTGGGACCGACTCGAGAAGGAGGAGCACGAACGGTATGTGTGCGAGTGTTGCGTGTGTGTGTGTGTGTGTGTGGCTGCATGCAACGTGGTCTCTGCCATCTTGTGTGCGTGTGGTTGAGCTTCCGTGCCGTGCCTTCACAATGACGACGACACGCTTCTCACACACATCCTCAACTTTGCAAACACATGCAGCGAGATTGCCATGCGCGAGGAGCTGCGGCGACAGGAAAAGCTGCTGGAGATTTCCAAGACTTTTCACCGCAAAGCCGATCGCCGTGAGGACTGGGTTTCAGAGACTCTCGACAGGTGAGCGTGCGCGCGTGCGCGTGTGTTTGCACGTGTGTTTGCCGCTTTGTCACAGTCGTTTAACGCTTACAAGATGTCTCTCTTCATGTGAACCTTGGGGATGTGTTTTGTCAGGGTCACGGATGAATCGTTTGGATCATCGCTCGCAGAAGTCACGGTATGCCCCTGCGAGATGCACACCACACACACACACACACACACACACACACACACACACACACACACACACACACACACACACACACACACACACACACACACACACACACACACACACGCACACACACACACACACATTCACACAATTGACACTCGCACACTCACACCACGCCCGCCCGCCCGTCTTGCTTGCTGCCTGCAGGCGTCCCAAAAGAAGGAGGACATGATGAACACGGAGATTGACGCGTACGAAAAGAGGTTGCAGGCACTCGACGAACTGCACCAGCAGCTGCAGGATGGAAGCTTCAACGAGTACGTCATCGTGCCCCTGCCCTCACCAGTCCCACTTCTCTAAACACACACACACACACACACACACGCACTCACACACACACATACACACACACGCACTCACACACACACATACACACACACGCACACACACACACATACACACCTCCTACCAATGAGTTTACCCAAACTGCCCACACATCACCAATCCACCAACCAACCAAGTTCACTCACGTGCCCGTCGCCAACGACCAATCACACACCGCATTGTCTGCGATCACGACTGCAGTGTGGAGGCCGTGAGCGGGCGTGTGGAGGATCTTCGTGAGGAGTGGGAGGATTTGCTGCAGCAGATGCGTGAGCGCGGCGTGAAGTTGAGCGAGTTGCACGACCTGTTTCGCGTCTACGCCGAGATTGAGGACGCCGTCCTTTTTATCGAACGCACGAGTAACGCCATCGTCACCGCGCCCGCAGGCAAAGACGTCGACGAGGTGTGTGCATGCACGTGTGTGTGAAGAGGGGACAAGAATACTTGTGTTGTTGTGGATGTGCACACATGTGCTTGCGCTTGTGTGCTCTTTCAGACACACGTGCAACAACCCCCTCACCCTACTTCCTTACACACACACGCACACACACACACACACACACACACACACGCACACACGCACACACAATGCATGCACCTCAGGTTGCAGAGTTGCAGGAGAAGCACACGCATGTGCAGACGGACATTGACGCAATGGCCAAGGCCACTGGTGCGCAACTGGCTGCAGCCGTGACGCAATTCACAAAGTCCAACCACTCCAAAGTCGATCTGATCGTGCAGAAGCAGACCGAGATTACATCAGCATTTGAGACGCTTCGCCAACAAGCTGCAGAGCGCGACGCTCTGCTCAAGCGATCCATGCTCGTCTGCGCATTCATGCAGGTGGGTAGGCACTACGCCGACTGTTGTTGCTGCTGCTGTTGCTGCTATTGTTGTTGCTGCTGTTGTTGTTGCGTGCGAGCTTGTGTGTGTATGTGTGTGTGTGCAGAGAGAGAGAGTGTGTGTGTGTGTGCTCGGTGCTCTTGCGGGAGCCCCATTTGTGCACAGTGTCTGTGTGCGACTTGAAGCATGACATCACGTTCACACTGCGTTGCTTTTCCCCTCCTGTCATCTTTGTTCGGCCCCTGCGTGCGTGTGTGTCTGTGTGTCAGGACGTGCAAGAAGAGCGATCGTGGATCATCAACACGATGCCGACCGCTGCATCGAAGGACGTCGGCTCGTCTCTCACAGCCGTGCACAAGAACATCAAGCGCCACCAGGTATGGCAGAGAGCGTGCGTGTATGTATGTGTGTATGTGCGTGTCTTTGAGCGATTTTTCTCTTGTCATTTGCATGATCGTCCATAACCACTTCACACACAAACACACTCACATATACACGCATACACGCACAATACGCATACGCTTCAGATGTTGCTTGATGAGATCTCTGGGCGCGACCGCGCGTCGTATTCAAAGGTGATGGAGACGGGGCGCGCCCTTGCACAGCAGAAGGATGCGTACGAGCCACAGATTCTGACGGCGCTGCGTGCCCTCGAGGAGCTGTGGAAGGAACTCCAATACGGCGCACAGCAACGCGAGGTATGTCGCACGTTGAAGCGGCTTGCGGCCGTGTTGTGTGGCGGCAATACGTGTGCGCGTTGATCATGACTGGGCTCGTTCTTGGCCTGTCCTGTTTGTCGCCTGCCTCCCCCCTCCCCTCCTCCACCAGGCACCGCTCTGTTATCCCATTCCCTTCAATTTCTCTCCACCCCTCACCGACCCACCTGCCTTGCGTGAGACAGATTGGCCTGAAAGTTGCGCTGCGTGCGCAGGAGTACCTCGTTGCTGCCAACGACGCCGATTCGCGCATGAGCGAGTTTGAGCCGCAGGTGACCAGCACGGACTACGGGCACGACGAGCACACCAGCCAGGCGCTCCTGGACCGCTTCAACGCCGTGCAGGAAGACATCACCACGTTCAGCAAGGTGCACACGCGCCCAAGCACCACCCGCTTGTGTTGGCAACCCCCCCCCCACTTGCTTGTTGCTTGAGCTATGATTGCACAATTGCATGCTTGCGTGAGTTGCATAATTGCACAGTTCTCGTGATACGCGTGTTCGCTTTGCTCTTTTTGGATTCGTCTCCTCATCTCCATGCCTTGCGATGGTCTTGCTCCTGCTTTTCCTCATTACCCTGATTCCCTTTCCTTTCATTCCCCCTCCCCAAATGCCCATGACAGGTGATGCAACACCTTGCGCAGCTCAGCCAGGAGATTGCGGGCATGCCCAAACCGGACAAAGTGTCCGCTGCGCCGACGCCCGCCGTGTCCGCACAGGGCAGTCAGCAGCGCCTCACAGCGCCAAAGCCGACCGCTGAGCGAGTAGTTGCGACACAGGACTACACGGCGCAGCGCGGCAAGGAGTTGTCGTTCACAAAGGGCACTGTCTTCACAGTCAAGGCGAAACGCGATTCTGGACTGTGGAAGGTTGAGGACGCGCACGGCAGCATCGGCATGATTCCATCAGCGCTCGTGGTTGCCGCACCACAAGAGGACGAAGACGCTGCTTCGCAGCCCAAACCGCGGGCCAGTCCACCACGCCCCGCCCTTAGTCGCGCCCAGAGCATTGCGGCAGACCTCGCCTTTCCCAATCACGTCGTCGGCGTGACCACGCGCCAGGCTGCGCTTGACGCGCGCTATCACGACCTGCAGCAGCGCGCACAGCAGCGTGCGTTGGCTCTGCGCGACAGCACAAGTTTTCACTCGCTTCAGCGGGACATTGGCGTGCTCGTTGACTGGCTGGAGGAGAAGCGGCCCATCTACGAGTCGGTGGACATTGGGCACAACGGCGAGCAGCTGGGCCTGATCAAACGCAAGTTTGACGCGTTTATGCAGGAGTTGCTTGGCAAGGAGTCGGCGCTTGCAGCCATCAACTCACGCGCAGAGGAGCTCTTGGCTGCAGCACACACGCAGTCGGACAAGATCGTTGCCGAGCAAGACCACGTCAACGCTCTGTACGTGCCATGTTTCATGTGTATGTGTATGTGTGTTTGTGCCTGTGTTTGTGCGTGTGTGTGTGTGTGTGTGCGTGTGTGTATTATTGTGCGTGTGTGTGGTTTTGTGCGTGCTGTTGCCTTGCATTTGCATGCGCCTTTGTTCACCGCATTACCGAAAACACACACACACACACACACAGGCACTCACACGCACACTCACTCACACACACACACACACACACACACACGCACTCACACGCACACTCACTCACTCACAATACACACCGTGCAGGTGGAAGGAGGTGGACGCCAAGGCTGCCACACGCCAGCAGCAGCTTGAGGAAGCGCACGAGACATTCGAGTTCCGTGAGCGCGTGGAAGAGTTACAGGAGTGGATCCGAGAGAAGCTTGCCATCATGCCAGAGGACCTTGGCCGCGACGTCAGCAGGTGCGCGCTCGCGCTGTTGTATCGTGCGCACAGGATGTGGATCTCTCTTTGTCGTTACGTTTGTGTGTGTGTTTCAGAGTGTGTGAGCGTACATGTGCATCAATGCGCGTGTGTGAGTGCGTGTTCCCTTTGTTTTTGCTTCTTTACTGCCACAACACCCACGCCATACTCAACCTTTCCCCTTCCCTCTCTTGGTCTCTGCAGCGTCCATGCACTGCAGCGCCAGCACGAGGCGTTCAAGTCTGAGATTCAGCCCATTGACGGGGAGGTGGGCGACCTGATGGCGAAGAACGCCGCTGCCGACGTGCAGCGCAGTGAGCTCTTGCAGCTCTTGCAGCAGCACCTCGAAGGCCTCAACGCAAAGGCCCAGGAGAGGCAGGCCAGGATTGCCGCTGCACTCGACCTGCAAGTCTTCCTACGCGACTACCAGACCGCCGACGCGTGGCTGGCCGGTCTGAGCGCGGACATTGCCGGGTCTGAGCTGCACAGCGATCTGACCAGCGCGGAGGTTGCCCTGGAGCAGCACGACGGCCTCAAAGCCGAGATGGACGCGCGCTTCCCCTGGTACACGCAGGTGGCCGACCGCGGCACGGCGCTGGTGCAGGAGGGCCACTTTGCAGCCGACGACATTGGCGACAAGTCAAACGCCCTGCGCACGACTATGGCGGAGGCAGCAAAGGCGTGGGAAGAGAAGCGACACCAGCTGCAGCAGTGCTTTGACCTGCGGCGCTTTGAGGCCGCCACGGCTCGGGCGGGCGCAACCCTGGACCGCTTGGAGAGCGATCTGGCGACGACGGCCGTGGGTGACAGCCTTGATGAAGTGCAGGTGTTGCAGAAGACGCACGCCGGGGTACAGCAGCGGATTGCCGCGTCCACCGACGAGGTGCCCGGTGTTGTTGCCGCGTGTGAGGCCATGCTTGCCGACAACCACTACGAGAGTGCAGCCATCAAGTCCAAGTCTGACGAGCTCGTGGCGCGGCGGCGTGCCGTTGAAGAGCGAGCGAGCGAGCGGGCACTGCGGCTGCAGCACTCCGCGACGCTGCAGGCGTTCCTGCGTGACGCCGGAGAGGTCGAGTCGTGGCTGGCAGACAAGGAGAAGATGGTGGCGGAGCGCAACTACGAGGACAAGCTCAATCTCAAGGGAAAGCTGCAGCGTCACAAGCTGCTGGTGCTGGAGATGGGCACAAACGAGGATGTGCTGTGCGATCTGGAGAAGCGGGCCGGGGCCGCTGCAGAGGACCGCAATTACGCTGCGGGCGACATGCGCGAGCGCGCTGATGCGCTGCGTACGCGGTTTGAAGCTTTCCGCGCCGCGTGCGAGGAGAAGACAGCGCGCATCGAGGAGGCCATTGCCGAGCAGGACTTTGCGCGCTCCGCCGCGGACTTTGACCTGTGGTTTGAGCAGGTGCAGGCGCAGCTTGCGGAGACGGACGTCGGGGGCGACCGCATTGCCGCTGCGCAGCTGCTAAAGAAACACCAGCAGCTCATGGCCGATGTCGCCGCGAAACAGCAGGTGGTTGATCTCATTTCGTCCAGTGCGGAGGCCCTCATCGCTGCCGGGAACTACGAAAGCGAGAGCATTGCGCAGACGCGCAAGCACGTGGGCGAGCGGTACGCCTCGCTGGAGGAGCCGTGCAGCGTGCGGCTCAAGGCACTTGAGGACTCGCTCGCGTGGCAGACATACCTGAGCTCGTTCCGCTCGGAGAAGGCGTGGATTGACGAGCGCTGGGAGCGCGCACACGCCAGCAACGTTGGCGACAACCCCGCCGACGCGCAGTCGCTGCTGAAGAAACACCAGGCGTTTCACGCAGAGGTGTTGCCACACGAGGATCTGATTACTGCCGCGGTGGAGGCGGGCGATGCGCTGGTGCCGGACAACGCGCACAGCGAGAAGATCTATGAGCACAACGAGGAGCTGACCAAGGCCTTCCAGGACCTGGTGGATGCATCGAGCGACCGCCTTCGCGTGCTGATGGAGAACAACTCCGCACAGCACTACTTTGCGCAGTGCACGGACGCGCTCGAGTGGTGCCGCGCACATGAGGCGGCGGCGGGTAGCACGGAGTACGGCGAGGGTGAGGAGAGCGCGACGGCGGGGCTGCTGGCCAAGCACGATGCCCTGTCTTCAGACCTCAGCGCGCACCGCGTGCTGACGCAGGAGCTTGTGGACCAGGGGCGTGGCCTGATGGAGGCCGGCAACTTTGACCAGGAGCGCATTGCGGCGCAGATGGCGGCGGTGCAGGAGGCAATCGACCGCCTCACGGCCGACGCGAGCAAGCGCAAGACCGCGCTGGAGCAGCGCATGCTGTTTCACCAGTTTGTGCAGGACTGCAACGATTCGCTGGCGTGGCTGGACAAGAGCCTGGAGACGGCGCGCTGTACGGACATTGGGGAGGACCAGGACCACTGCGAGGTGCTGCGGGAGCGCTTTGACGACTTTGCGCAGTCTGTGCGGGCCAACGAACACGACATGGTGCACAAGCCGGTGGCGCTGAGCGAGGAGCGCTCGGCGCACGTGGACGGGCCTCGCATGCTTGACCTTGCGCAGCAGCTGTCCATGCGCCTGAAGGAGCTGCAGGCGGCGATGGCTTCGCGTGAGACGCAGCTCAACAACGCCACGGAGGTGCACACGTTTGTGCGCGAGACATCTGAGCTGCTTGCGCGCGTGGAAGAAAAGCACGGCCCCGCGCGCTCGCAGGAGTATGGCAGTGATCTTCCCGCCGCAGAGTCGCTCAAGCGCTTGCACGACCGCTTCGAGCTGAGTGTACAGGCGCTGCGCGGCGCTGTTCGGCAGCAGGCGGAGAAGGCCGACGCGCTCGCCCCGCGCCACCCCGCAAGCAGCGGGCGCATTCTGGACATGAAGCAGCGGCTGCAGGATGCGTGGCAGCAGCTGTTGGATGCGACGGCAGCGCGCAAGACGGCGCTGGAGGCGTCGAACCTGCTGCACCAGTTCCTCACGCAGCAGCGCTACATGGTGTCGTGGATTGGCGATATGGCTGCGCAGGTGAACGCGCACGAGCGGCCAACGAGCGTGGACGGCGCAGAGAAGGCCCTGGAGCTGCATGCCACATACAAATCTGAGATTGACACGCGGCGTGTGGGCTTTGACGATCTGGTTTCGTTTGGGCAGCGGCTGCTCGAGACACAGCCGCAGCACGTGGAGGCTGTGTCGTCTGGCCTGGACGCGCTGCGCACGGCGTTTGCCTCCCTCACCCAGCAGTGGGAGGAGGTGCGTCGCGCGCTGCACCTGGCCAAGGACGCGCTCGTGTTTGAGCACGAGACGCAGGCGCTTGAGGCGTGGCTGCAGACACAGGAGTCGCTGCTGCTTGGGGACGACGCACTGGAGGCCGCCGTCGACGCTGGCGGCGATGTGGACGTTGACGTTGACGCGCTGTTGGACAAGCACGGCGAGCTGGAGGCGTTGCTGGACGCTCACACGGGCAAGCTGCACAGCCTGCGACGGCTGACGAAGTTTGAGGAGGAGTCTTTGCAGCAAGATGCCATTCATCAGCACTACCAGCGCTTTGAGCAAGAGGATCGCGCTGAGCAGGAGCGCCGTGCAGAGCGGCAGCGGCAGGAGCAAGCCGAACAACTTCAGCAACAGGTGTGTGAATGTGTGCGCGCGTGCGTACGCGAGCGTATGTGTGCGTGTGTGCGTGTGTGCGTGCGTGCATGTGCATGTGTGCGTGTGCGTGTGCGTGCATGTGTGTGTGTGTGTGTATGTGTGTTGTGTTGCAAGTTGTTTGTGCCGTTGAGTGCGCCTGCGTGTCAAACTCACGTTTCAGCGGCGTGGGCTGTGCTGTGCGTTCAAACCATGCAGCAACTGCTGGAGGCGGAGATGCAGCGACAGCACGAGTTGGAGGAAGCAATGCGGCAAGAGCGGGAGAAGCAGGCCGCGCAAGCCGCACAGGAGGACACCGCCCGCGCAAAGGTGCGTCTTCCTCCGTTGTTGTGGGCCACCACAGCATGCATGTGTGGCTTCTGCACGCCACGCTTCTTTCCTCCTCAAGTGTACATGGTGGTGACATGCCGACACTTTGCCCCATGTCCTCTTGATTGCACACACACACACATGCACACACACGCACACACGCACGCACACACACACACACACACACACACACTCTCTCTCTCTCTCTCTCTCTCTCTGTCTTTGTGTCTTTCTGTTTCTTTCTCTCATGCATTTGGCTCACGCTTGTGTTCAACCCCCCCTTTGTTTTCTCGTCATTGCTTTCCCCTGTGGTCCGTGTGCACACAGGCGACAGCGGAAGCGATTGTACAGCAGGAGAAGCGGCGCGCCACACAGCTGGCGGAGGAGTTGGTGACGGCTGCGGCATCCGCCCGCGCAAAGCTGGCAGAGAAACGTGCTGCAGAGGAGCAGTTGCGGTCTCGTGAGCAGAAGGTGGTGGAGGCTGAGCGCCGTGCAAGCCTCTCTGGCACGCGGGTCATGCGAACACAGCGGGCATCGGACTTTCTGCCACGCATGCCGCTGCCGAGTGACGGCGGGAACACGACGACAACCGCCAGCACGCCGTCAACAACGCGCGCAACGTCAACATCGTCTACACTCGCACGGGACGCGGACGCACCCGCGCCCGGCGCCACCCTGGCAAGCGAGCCTGCCGGCAGCAACGCACGCGCCCCCCTGAACGGGGCCCCCTCAATTAATGGCGGACACGCGCACGCGAGCGCCGGCGCAGAATCGAGGGAGGAGGATGACGAGGGCGAGGATGAGGACATTCAGGCTGTGTTGTCGTACCCGAGCCAGCTCAACCCGGGCTCACAGCGATATGTGATGGCGGCAGATGGAAAGATGTCATCGTCGTCCCTCAACACAGAGTACTCTGCACTATCGTCACGCAGCGAGCTGCCCCCACACATGCTGGACTCGCAGGCGGCGCGAGCAGAGCACGGGCTGTCCACGCTGTCCATCTCCTCCTCGCCTTCTGTGCCGCGCCGTGCTAACACCAGTTCGGCAGCAGACTCGCTCGTGCCCGATGATGATCCGCCACCGCTTCCGGAGGACGAAGTGCCAGACATTCCGCTGGACGAAGATGAGGAAGTGTAAATCCACCCTGCTTTTTCTTTGCATGCAGTTGCGTGCAGTTGTACATTGTGGCGTGTGAGTGTGTGTGAAAGTGTGTGAAGGTGTGTGTGTGCGTGTGTGCGTGTGTGTAAGCGTGTGTTTGTTTTTTCATGTCCATGGCACAACGGCACTGCGATTCGGTTGGATGGTGTTATGTTACACGGCTGACTTGGTGAAGGCTTGAGCTTTTGTTGTTTCTTTCGACGTGCCGGGATGTGATGAGCAAAGCCACGCGCTTTGCTTCCTTGGGCCTTTTAATTGTGTATGTTCTTTTCATTGTGTGTTGGCACCATTTAATTTTTCCCTCACAAACAAGTGCGAGCAAGCTTGAACTGATGAGGAACACGTAACATCGGTGGTTATCCAACGACAACAATTCCATACAACCCAACCAATCCATGCGCTGGAGTGAGGCGCAGACAAAACAACACAAGCTAGCTCACAGACAAGAGGCACACAGATACGCAGGCGCACCAACACGTACACAGACGGGTGACAGTTGCCTGCAGCCACATGCGCACAGGCACCCACATATGCACCTGCCACAACAGCTACATGACACACACACACACACACTCTCTCTCTCTCTCTCTCTCCTCTCTCTCTCTCTCTCTCTCTCTCTTCCTCGAAGCACGCACACACAACTAGAACCTGCCACGCCCCCTGCCTCGTCTGCCCATGTGTGGCGGGCGCATCATGTGCTGATGCGGTGGCGCTGCACCCATTGGCGGCATGCGCGGGCGTGGCGGTCTCGTGTATCCAACAGGACCCCGCGGCCCAGCGGGCGGCGGTGGCTGTACCATGCAGACAGACGCGAGGGAAGAAGGCAAGGTGTGATGCGCAAGTGGTATGGGTGTGAGGGCGCTACAACAAGAAGCGCATGCAGTCACTCGCAAGGGTTGACGCAGCATGCCTTGTGTTATTTGTTTGGGAACATGGTGTTGGTGTTCTTGGAACCATGTTGTTTGTTCGTTTGTAACATGTTATGTTGTCACGGTTGTACGTGTCTTCGAAGCAATTTTCGTGCATCAGAGAATGAGGGGACTTGACGTACCCGCATGCGAGCGTCCATGTGCCGCATCATGGGCTGGCGTGGTGGCGGTGGTGGGCCGCCATAGCCTGGCGGCGGCGGTGGTCCGGCCATTCTGAAGGCAGCACGCACACCACACATTGAGGGCCAATGATGGCACGAGGTACGCAACGAAGACAAAGAAATCGCCATCAAGTATGGTGGTTCGACGTCGACACGACACTCAAAATTTACACCACCAACCCACAGAGAAGTTTGAACACGGACACGTTCATTCCTGCTGCCCCCGCCAAGCGTGCTACTCCTTGCATACCCCTCTGCCTCTCAACAACATCAAAACACAGCGCACTCACCCTGGAGGCGGCGGTGGTCCTTGCTGGTAGCGCTGCGGCGGCGGCGGCGGCGGGCCAGGGGCAGGGCCAGACCGCCACGGCGGCCCCGCTGGCATTGGCGGGTGGTGTGGGTGGTGTGGAGGTGGGGGAGGTCCCATTGGCCCGGGCCCACCACGGTACGGCGGGCGACTGGGCGGTCCGCCACGCGCATAGCGGCCGCGGCTGCTGGAGCGACGCTGGCGGCGGTAGGCTGGGGTGCGCGAGCGGGACCGGGACCGGGACCGGGACCACGAACGCGACCGAGAGCGGGATGGGGATCGTGATGGGGAACGGGAGGGCGTCCACTGTCCACGGCCACCGCCAGCATCACGACGCGGCCACGGCGAGCGAGAATACGACCGTGAACGCGAGCGCGAGCGCGAGGGCGAGGCACTGCCACGCCTCCTGCGCGGTGACACATCCCGTGACCCTTCACCGGATCGGCGAGACGACGACGATCTCCGCCGTGATCGTGACCTTGACCTTGACCGTGATCGTGAGCGTGATCGTGAGCGTGCGCCCGACACTGGTTCGAGTGGCGAGCGTGAGCGTGAGCGCGATGGCGATGGTGACCGTGATGGTGACGGTGATGGCGAGCGCGGGGAAGGGGTGCGGCTGCGAAGGGAGCGCGATTGCGGGCGCGATGTGCGGCGGGAAGACGGCTCAGAACTGATATCGCGAGAAGACCCGCGCTGTGGCGACGATGGAGACCTGTCAAGAGGGTGGATGGGCACATGGAGTGAGAAAGGTAACGTGGGCTCTCCCTATGGGCTATGCTCATTCATGGGATGGGCATCATGAACAATGCGCGCGATATCGCAAGCAACAGATCGCACATACAGAGAGAGAGAGGGAGAGAGAGACAGACAGACAGACACAGACACACACACAGACACACAGACACAGACACAGACAGACAGACAGACCGAGACACGCACAGACACACACAGACACACAGACACACACACACAGACACAGACACACACACACACACACACACACACAAAAGCAGCGTTTGCGATGGGTGCGCGTACCGTGGCATGGGTCGCTGGCTTGAGGACGAGAAGCGGCGGCGGCCCCTCATCTCCGCCTCGGGTCGGCCATCGCGTGGTGCCGGCGGTGCGCGTGGCCCCCGCGGCGGTGGTGACCGAACAGGAGACCGTGATCGCGACCGCATGCGTGCGCGGCGGGGTGATAACAGGGGAGGCGGTGGTGTGCCAGGGCCACGGTTGCGAGCACGCCCCGAACTGCCATAGGGGCGGGCAGCAGGGGACCCCGGGCGGTAGGGTGGAGAGCGGCGCATGGGCGGTCGACCTTCACGGCGGGGGAAGCGCGGCGGCGGCGGCGACATGGCAGCACGATGCGGTGGTGGTGGTGGTGGTCCCCGGAAGTTCGGGGGCCGATGGTGGGGATGGTGGGGATGGTGGGGATGATGTGGTGGAGGTGGGCGCGGATGGTGATGTGCGTGCTGGTGCGGCGGGGGTGGTGGGGAGCCGCGGAAGCTTGCATCGTAACGGGGCCGGCCGCGTGGTGGTGGCGGCGGTGGGGGTGGTGCGCGCTGGTCGTGTCGGCGCGGGTGGCGTCTGTAGGGCGGGCTGCGGGACCGACGAAGCCCTCGCGGCGATGGTGGCAGTGGTGACCGTGAACGCGACCACACTCGGCGGTCACGGCGGCCAGGGTGGTGGGCGTGGCGGTGGTGGCGTCGGGGTGGTCCGGACGGCGACGGCGGAGGGGATGGCGATTCAGACATCGATCGAGAGCGTGCGCGCCGTTGTGGCGGTGCTGGCTGGACGACGCTGCCTACAGCGTGTGCAGGGCGCCGCCCGGGCGACGCCGGCGGAGACACAGAACGCGAGAGCGGTGTGCGCGATCGGCCCCGTTGCTGCGGCGCTGGTGGAGGCGGCGATGGTGATGGTGATGACGGTGGTGTGGCTGCTTTCGCCTTCTTCGCGGGCCTTGCATTGCGACTACCGGGTGAACGCTTCTCAGCACTTGTGTCCCGACGCCTGTCGCCTCTGCTCGCACGGCGACCCTCTTCACGCTGTAGCTGTGGTTGCTGTAGCTGTCGCTGTGGTTGCTGGTGCTGGTGTTGCTGCTCGCGTTGAGCTGCCAACTTCTGTTCCTCTTCCCCGAATGTGTCCATCAACGTAAGGAGCTTGGCTGCTGCCACGGACTCAATTTTCTGCACATGTGTGTGCGCGCGTGCGTGTGTGTGTGTATGTGTGTGTGTGTGCGTGTGTGCGTGTGTGTGCGTGTGTGGGTATTGGTGCCGAGCGGATCGTGGGTTGCATACATAGAGGATTCGTGCATATGTAGTGTGGCGTTTAGATTCTGTCACGTGCAACGCCAATCAATCCTGCACACCGAACTAACCGTCATGTCGGGGCACTTGTGAATTTCCTGGCGTCGTCGAAGGTTGTTGCGGAGGTGAGACGCCTTTGCCGTTGGCATGCCATATCTACATGTGTGTATGCATGCATGTGCGTGTGTGTACGTGTGTTTGTGCATGTGTGTATGTGTATGTGTATGTGTGGATGTGTGTGTGTGTGTGTGTGGAGAAGTACAAGTGCATACGTGAGTCAGGCGATCGCTGGAGCGAAATGCGGCTGCACAACCACGTGGACAGCAGTAGCAACGAGACATACACACTAGTGTTGACTTACGTGTTGATCCAGCGGACAAGGAAGGTGGACCCAAGGTTCACGGACGTGTTCCAGTCAAAGTCAATGTCGTCATCCATGCCCTCCACACTGAACATCCATGCAATCCACCCAATACAGCAACAGCACAGGAGTGGGTCAAGGCACGCGCAAGGCTGCAAGTGGCCTCACACGCCTCGCTCACAAACGACGCAGCAAGATGTCACTAGATCCCTCACAACACATGGCACATGCGCGGTGCGTGGTGCCTCCACAAGCGCGAGCGAGAGCAGCCAGCGACACAAATGCAACACAGACGTGCGGGGTGCACGTCCGCTCGGCACACGGAAGGGGAATTGCAGGCTCACCGCGCATAGCCGGAGTAGGACGAGCTTCCATTCGCGATGAAGATGAGATACAAGTTCTCATTGTTCTGGCAGAAGAAAAGACGGGAAGATGGGTGTTGAGGCGGGGGCGGGGTGGGGTGCACAACGAGGCAGACCCAACCCCACACGCACAGGCACACAAAGACTCATAGCGGTTGTGCGCTGTGTACACCGATAGGAAACATGCACACGTACGCACGCACGCACATACACACGCACAAACACGCACATACACACGCACAAACGCGCACGCAAGCAAGCAAGCACGCAAGCACACACTCACATATACAGGCGATTGAATGACACGCACCTTGAAGTCAGCTTTGAGCTTGGACATGTTTCGCTTCGGGGTTGCCCAGAGATCGTGCTGCTGCGACAGGCGTATGTTCTCCTCCGTGTGGCTGCGCACCAGGTAGAAGGCACACTTGCCACCTGCCCGGAACGCCTGCTTCGGGACACGCTTGGGAACACCGCCATCGCTGTGCACGACGCGAGTCATGCCTTGGCGCTGGTGTGCGGCCGGTGCAGTGCCACGCACAGCCGCCGCCGCTGTTGGTGTACTTGAAGATCCTTCCACTCGTCCTTTGCCGCGTCTGCCTGGGGCGGTACTGGAGGATGATGACGATGCCGATGGTGGTGGTGCCGCCGTCGGCTTCTGTACATAGCCTGCCGTCGCATGCGCACGCGCAGCCAAAGCAAAGCGTTGATGGGATCACCCACCACGACGCAGGCGCGCGCGCAGAGGAGTGGCGCGGGTGCACAGGAGCACAGCAACACACAGGTATGACGCAACCGAGATGTCGACAGGCGGGAAGCCAAGCGGAGCACATTGAGGACAATGATTAGCTGAACGAAATCATTCATTCATTCACATCCTGTGGCCCCAGCAGCTTGCATAATCGCGTCCCCTCATCCATCTCGTCTGTCGCTCTCTCGATCGCGCGCTCGCACCCGTCAAGTCGCTGTGCACGCCTCCCGCTCGCATGCCAATACACGTCGCACCCCATCGCCACTCATCTCTCTCCTTCTGCTATGCTCGTGCGCGCTCTGACCCTCTCACACGCACACAGAGACACACGCACACGCACACACGCGCGCACTCTCTCTGGCTCTCTACACGCCAAGAACACAAGCAAGCACAGCACATGGGGTGGGGGAGTAAAGGAAAGAGAAAAAGCCGGTGACAGCGATGATAACGACCAAAGTGGAAGACAATCGCCACAAATACGCATAGGACGCGTAACCACAGAGAAGCAGAGGGGGGAGGAGGAAGAGGAGGCAGAGAAGAAGAATCGGACGCCTGAAACATGTGTCAGGACGCGCTACTTCTACAGACTACGGATGCAACGGTCACTTCTCTTTCGCCAACTGAATTGAAAGGCACAAGGCTGCACGCGTCCCGATCTGATGGTAGCGCCCCATCACAGCCCGTACAGCCCCTGTGTCTCTTCCCACATCTCCCTTCCCACATCTCTCTGGCCGATGCCCTCACGTGCCAGCACGTTGGAGTACATGTTCTGGATATCACCGCACCTGACAGGCGTTCGTGGATGCTGCGCTTCGAGCGGCGAGTCGGGCTGCTGGTCTCATCCCGTTGTTGGTGTGGCCTCGCCCGGGCCTCTGCGTGTCCTCTGGAGGCAGCACCAGCGCCATCTCCACCAGAAGGCGCCCGTGCTGGTGCTGGTACTGCCGCACGCTGAGTTTCGCCCTTCCTCGTGGGTGCGCGCCTCTGTGCGTCTCGGGATGATCTGCGTTGGCGTTGGTCGGTGAAACGGTCGGGTTGCACCGCTGCCAGTTTGTTGCCAGAGTCGGCATCGCGGGGTTTTGCTCCTGCTGCTGATCGGTCACCTAGCCGGGCAAAGACTGACTGCTGGGGTCGCTGCTGTGGTCGCTGCTGGCGTGCTGCGTCCTGCCTCCCGCCTCGTTGTGCTGATAGTGCTAGTGCTGCTGCCGGTGGTGGCGGTGATGCGCGTGCCCTGGGGGCTCCTCGATCTGGAGCTGGGCGCGCGCCGCGCTCGTCCAGACGAGCATCGCGCGGGCGATCTCGGCTTTGTCTGCGACCTTGGCGACGTTGCTCTCTGCGTGGCGGCAGATCGCGGCCCCTCGAGCGGCTGCGGCGCTGGCTCTGTGCAGCTGACGCTGTTTGTGTTGGTGAAGCTGGCCTGTGTCTCTGACGACGAAGGTCGCGTGGCTCGTCCGTTTGTGGCGGTGGCTGTGTTCTCCTCGCCGCTGTCTCGGACGCTGTCACGGATGATGTCCCGTGTTCAACCCGTGTTGGAGCTGCAAACGTGTGTGTGTGCATGTGCATGTGTGCATGTGCATGTGTGCGTGTGTGTGTGTGTGTACATGTGCATGTGTGTGTGTGTGTGCATGTGCATGTGTGTGTGTGTGTGTGTGCAAGGCTTTGGAGTTGAGGGCAATGGTGATGGAGGGCATTCCTTGTTCAACACTGGACAAAGCTGACGAGTACGAACCAGCAAGCAAAACGGACTCACAAGAAATGGGGGTGCTACCTTTGGCTTCGTCAACTTGCGACTCCGATACAACTACAGCTTCGTTTTCTGCTTCGTCAAACGTGTGATCGTCCCCAAGAACGGTGGCAAGGATGTTCTCCTCCTCCATGATGGCAGTCTCGTGTGCCAGTTCGGCCTTCGACCTGTCGTGCACTGCCTGGTCGTTCGCTTTCCGCCGTTGTCTTTTGTGGTGCGTGACGAATGTTTATGGAAGGTGTGGTCAAATTTCTTCAATGCGTGGTGGTGGTGGTGCTGAAGCACTGACAACAAACAACAACAGCAGAAAGCAACAAACAAGCAAGTGAAGGGGCAAAGATGAATGGGAAACATGCATGCATGCGTGTGCTTGTGTATGGGTGTGGGTGTGTGTATGCGTGCACAGGGGTTGTGCCAACGACGCGATTCGTCCCGCTACTGGGAGGCCTCGCCCTCAGCACGCTCCTCAGCACGCTTCGCCAGCTCCCCAACGACATCAGACTTGGTCTTGGCCGTGAGCACGTCAATCGGGGTGATGAACTGGTACGGGCCCTTATCGCGCATGGCCTCCCAGTCGCGGCGGTTGCGCTCAACCTCAGCGCGCAGCACCTGCACATACACAACAAAGGGGGGTTGGTTGTTTGTTTGTTTTCGGCAGGTGGGGGTGGGGAGGCAGAGGTGGGTGTGGAGCACATTGGAGAGGGGGGGAGGAACACGAAACAAGCAGAATGACATACACACAGACACACACACACACACAAACACAGAACAAACACGCGTGCACACACACACGCACACATGCACGCGCACATGTACCGTACCTTGAGGTCTTCAAAGTGGTCGCCAAGTGAATCGTACACGGGCTTGGCCACAAAGTCAATGAAGCCAACCTGCAGCACAAGTGATGGGGTATTGAGGGTGAGGGCGAGGGCGAGGGGAGGAAGCAGGCATGGACAATCATGAGGGAGGCAAGGGAGGGGTACATCGAATCAATTTCGTTGCGCTTTGTTTTGCCCGTGATGAGCGCAGAGAGGGATGTGATGCAACAGCACACACTTGCACACACAACGCCACACAAAGAGAATCTGCGACGAAAACGCACCTGCATCTTTGGCAGCTCGCTGACTTTCTGGCGGTTCATGAGGTCCTGCAGGTCGTCTGTCTTGGCGCCAAGCGCCCGCTCCAGATCGCCCTGATCAAAGAACTCGCTGCAGTTGTCGTGAATGGTGTGTGTGTGTGCGTGTGTTTGGGGGGGGGCAACGTAGTCAAGAGCATGAAAGGTGAGTGAGGTGACGTCGGGATGTGATGATGGGTGGGCACATAAAATACAAGATAGCACACACTGTGCATGTGTGTTTGTGCGTGTGTGCGTGTGTGTGTGTGTGTGTGTGTGTGTGTGTGTGCGTGCGTGCGTGTGTGCGTGTGTGTGTGTGCGTGTGTGTGCGTGTGTGTGTGCGTGTGTTATTGGACCTGTAGACGAGCTCGGCGACGCGGCGCTGCGCAGGGAACGGCTTCGTGACAGCAGAGAGGTCGCCAGCCGTCATGATGATCGACCGCAGAATGTCCTGAACGGCGGCGGCAGTGGCGGTAGTGGAGCACACAGGAATGAGGCCAGGGCAGTTGTAGGGCACAAGCAAGCAAACGCATATTGCCCCAAAACAACATACAACTAAGTCAGCAAGCAAGCACGAGACAGCGACATCAACACACGCAAGCCAGCACCCAAGCAAACGAACAAACAGGCCAAACCATATGCACAGGTCAGCGATACGCACCAAGTGCTCGCGTTTTGCCTTGTCGAAGGTCTTGTCGTCAACAAGCGCCTTGTACTCCTTGCGAATGCTAAAGTGGCGGCCAAGGTCGGTTGCAAGGATGGCAGATTCAATCTGCTTGATCGCCTGTTTGAATTTGGCGGCAGTTGGGGTGCAGGGGGTGTAGGGGCGAGTGTGTTTGTGTGTGCGCGTGAGGGTGAGTCATTGAGTGCATTTGTGTTCGTGTGTATGACAATGGAAAAGAAGGAGGAGGAGGAGGAGGATGTCGAAGATAAAAGCGTGTGGGAGTGATGCGGAATTGATGGCAAGGGAGGCGATGGTACTTGCATGGTACACGCCAATTGCATGCATACACATGAAAGTAAAACTACGCACACACATACACACACGCACACGCATACAACACGACCGTTGCACCTCAACAACGAAAACAAAACAACAACAACAACATCATCATCATCATTGCCTGCGGGGTGTGTTGATACCTGTTCGTACTGCTTGGATGGCAGGGCAGCGAGGATGTTCTGGCCCTCTGTGCTGAGGATCGTCACCGCGCGGTCAAAGTGGTGGTGCTCGAGCGTCGACGTCGAGTACAGCTAAGGGGGCAGACACGCGTTTGTATGTGTGTATATGTGTGTTTGTGTGAGTTTTGTTTGTGTGTGAATGTGGGCCGACGTACAGACGTGTGCAAGTGCGTGCGTGTGAGGTGCGTGTGAGTGTGCGTGTGCATGAGGTGCGGTGCTGTAGACACGAGTGCACGGGGCGTTGGTTGGTCTGGCTTACGTCGCCAAGAGGGGTGCTGTACTTCTTCTCGAATGTGTTGTTCGTGCCACTGCAATGGTTCGGACAAGAGCGGGCACGTCGTGATGAGTTCGGATGACAGCTCGATCGGTGACAACAACAACAAGAACAAGAACAACAAGGACAAGAACAACAAGAACAAGAACAAGAACAAGAACAAGAACAAGAACAACAGCGGCGGCGGCGCACCGGTGGTCGAGGTCGTGGGAGAGCGCGGCAATGAGGATGCCCGCCTTCTCGAGATCAGAGAAGTACGTCCCCATCTCAGAGCTCTGCAGTAGCGCAGCGGGTGCAGTAGCGCAGCGGTTGCATTGCCGTAATGGCGGCGGCGGTGGTGGTAACAGGAGAGTGACGTGAGAACAGGAGTGAAGGGTGCACAAGTTGCATGCGAGCAGGCACGACGTGGGCATGCATGAGCATGTGTGTATGTATGTGTGTGTGTGTGTATGTGTGTGTATGTGTGTATATGTATGTATGTATGTGTGTGCGTGTCAACGCACCATGAGGGCACCATAGACAAACTGGCCCACGTTGAAGGCATGCTTCCAGTTGTGGTACCTGCGCATACACGTCGACCAAGTACACGTAAGCTCAGTGAACTAAAATGAAACGTGCAGTCAGATGCAAATCCACCCTCATCACACGCACACACACACAGACACGCACACACGCACACGCACACACAGACACGCACACGAAGAAGGTTCGCCGCACCTGACGTCGCGGTAGGAGCGCTTGACACAGATGAGCCAGGAGGAGAGGTCGTCGGGCCGCATGCGCAGCTTGCGAGCAAAGCCGCTGTCCGTGAACATTGCCCGCGCAGCGAGCAGCGTGTCGTCAATGTCAATCGACAGCGGGTCAAACGTGATGGAGCGCAGGCGCGTGCACAGCTCCCTACAGCAATGAACAAGACATGGTGGTGGTGGTGGTGGTGATGAGGAGGAGAGTAAGGCAGAGAGATCAGTGCACGTGGAGGAAGGGGAAAGATAGCGTCACAATCAATTACACAGCGTCTTGTGTCCGATTCCCGTTAAACACACACACAGAGCAACAGACACACACAGAGCAACAGACACAGACACACACACACACACACAGACACACACACACGCACACACAGACACACACGCACACAGACACGCACACGCACACACACACACACACACAGAGCACCAAGGACGCGACGTACTGCGGGGGCTCGGTGGTGGAGAGCTTCTCAACCTCCTGCGGGTGCGCGCGGGTGTGGTAGGACAGCATCTCCAGGGCAACCTGGTGGCGGCGGGCGTCACGCCGCACTTGGTCGTGCAGCTGCGCATTGTGCAGCGCAAGGCCGCAGTAGCCGGCAAACACCTGCAGAGAACGCGCAGGGGCCGGTGGGGCGTGGTGGAGATGGTGCGATAAGTGGGATGAGGGGGGGGGGAGAAGGGAGGTGGTAGTGCGGGATAGAACCAGTGGATGGCTCTGCGAACAGCAAAGCCCCACGTACGCACAACCGCACACGAGTATGTACACTTACACACTTACACACTTACGCAAACCAACAAACAAGCCAGCCAACAAACCAACAACCAAAGTCTGTTGCGTACGTTGAGGCTCTTGACGTCGCGCTCCGTGAAAGGCCCGTCACCGTGCTTGTTGATGAGCTGCGTGACAGCAATCACCTCGTCGTTGTTGTCGAAGATGGGCGTGCAGAGGATGTTGCGGGTCTTGAAGCCTGTCTTGTCGTCGATGGCGCGGTTGAAGCGGTCGTCAGCATACGCATCGTGGATGTTGAGCGTCTCGCCAGTGGTGGCCACGTGCCCTGCAATGCCCGTTGTGGCCGGGAACGAAAACTGGTTGTCGTCGCTGTCCCCGACACAGCCTTCCTCCGACACCTGGGGATGGAGGTGATGGAAACGGTCGCAGTGATGGTGGCAGTGATGGTGGCAGTGATGGTGGCCGTGGTGGTGATGGGACGTGGACGTGGGGAGGAGACAATGTGAGGCTGCTGGGTCAGTGGGTGCAAAGACACGCACGCAAACACACATGCACACACTCCTTCACTCAAAACGAGGCGTGGAGAACAGAACAGAACAGAGCAAGATGAGAGCAGTCAAACATGCACACGCCGATGCTTGTTGACGACTTACGTCGAAGGCCTGGCTGGAGAGCTCATTGGTCTCCTTGTCGTACTGTAAGTGTGTGCAAATGCGGCGGCAATCATGAGTCAGCGGTCCGTGTGTGCGTGTGTGTGTGTGTGCGTGCGTGCGTGTGTGTGTGTGTGTCAGTCAGAGACAAACACCAAGGGACTCGAGAAGAAGGTACGCCACCATTACAACCGCCCACCAATTGTAGTCGTTTGTCGCAACACAAGCACAGAAAGCCACAAAGCAGCCAACAGCGAGCGCACAACCCCCCCCCCCACACACATGAACGCGAAGAGCTGGGCACGTACGAGGAAGAGGGAGCATCTGTCGCAGTGGACGAGTTCAGCAGCGTGCTGCAGGATGGTTTCCACAACCTCCTTCGTGTCAGTTGTCTCCATGAGCGCAGCGCTGATGTCCAGCATGACAGTCGAGAACTTCTGCGCCAGGGCCAGCTCCCTCAGCGCCTGTGGTGTGCGGGTTGTGTGAGTCGGAGCGGATATGCTCTCTCACTCTCTCATCATGCTTGAGCTTGCCAAGCACAACACCGACACCCACCCACACATATACAAATGTACACACACATATATACAAATGTACACACACATATATATATATATATACAAATGTACACACACACACACATAAACAAATGTACACACACACACTCTCTCTCTCTCTCTCTCGCACACACACACACACACATGTACACACACACTCTCTCTCACACACACTCACACACATGTACATGCACACACACGCAAACCTCGGCGACGGTGGTGGGGTCCTTTTGCATCCATTGCTTGAGCTCGTCTGCGGACTTGTGGGTGATGTCAAGGTCTTCCATGCTCTTGAATGGAACCTCGAGGCTCTGCATGCGCTGGCTGGCGAGCGAGGCGCGGCGGCGCAGCATGTTCTTCCTGTTGGCAGGGTCGGGCGGTGGTGAACTGGTGTCCTGGGCAGGCTTTGCGTGGGATGCTTCTTGCTGTGGTGACAGCGCGGCGGGGGTGTCTTGCGTTCGAAGCATGGCGGTGTTGGCGGTTGGCGGGTGGGAGGCGATGGTGGCGGTCGGTCGCGGCGGTGGAGTTGGTATGGACGGAGAAGAGGGATGAAGGAGGACGAATGAGGACGTGCAGTTGACGTGAGGGCGCGCGATTGGTTGGTGGGTTGGTTGGTTGGAGATAGAAAATGAACGGTCAAAGAAAGGGAAGCGTTCGGAGAGAATGCAAACGGCAAGCGTATGATGAAGGAGAGCGAATGTGGTCCGGCAGACGGTGTAGGCGAGTGAGTGTGTGCGTGAGTGAGTGAGAGAGAGAGGGTGTGTGTGTGCGTGTGCGTGAGTGAGGGGTAGACAAAGAAGGAGAAATCGAGCACGCGGGATCAACGGTTACGGCATAGGTGTGCACAAGCAAGGATGAGTCGTGGAGTTAGTGCAACCGAGAGGTATGTGATGTGGTGGTGATATGGAGGTGCACGGAAGCAAGCAAGAAGTGGGAAACAAAAGAGAAAGTGGGAAGCAAGCGATGGGAGAAGGGAGAAACGCCACAAGAAGCAAAGGGAGCGAGTGAGGAGGCGGGGGGGGGAAACGCGTGGCGATTGTCAAAGCAAAGACGCACACAAATTGGTTGTCAAGAATGGATGGCGGTGATGTGGCTGGCGGTTGGCGTTGTTGGCGTTGGCGTTGTCGCGTGTGCGGGCAACCAAGAGGACTTCTGTATTATCTTACCGGCGCTTTGGTTGGTTGGTTGGGGGGAGGGGTCTGGCTTCCGTGGCTGGGTCCTGACAAAGATCAGAGAGGTTGGGGATGGCAAGAACTGAGCTGCGTGGGTTGGCTGGCGTATCAGCGTGTTGGTGTGTTGGGTGTGTGTGTGTGTGTTGGGTGTGTTAGTTGTTGGTGGTGGTCCCACGTCAGTGAAGGCTCGTCTGGCTGGCTGGAAACGGACCAGGAAGCGAGATGCGATGATGAAAAAGGAAGCGAAGCAAAAAAGTCAACCGTCATACACCCTCGCCTCTTCAACGCCACGCAACGCAACGCACCTGCCTGCGCGATCGGAACTTCGTCGCCTTGAAGCACAATAAATGCACATCAAATCACCTTGTTGGGACAAAAAAATTAAAACGTTGCGCACACAGAACAACACAGGATAAACAGTAGTTGACGGGTGCGTGTGCTTTGGCCTGCTTGCTTGCTTGCTTCACTTGCTTGGCTTGCTTTCTTGCTGTGTGGTCGTTGTTGGTTGGTTTTGGTTTGGTTGTTGGTTTTGGCGGACGCTTGCATTCTCCCCCCCTCAACACGCATCAACATCGCTTCCCCTTGCCCGCCTTCCTCAACATCCAACTCACACCACCGCCACCACCACCGCTTCGACACAGACAGACGGGAGAAAGAGGATTGGGCAGTCCCTCACGCCCTCTCCCCCCTTCCCCCCTTCCCTCCTTTGTCTTCCCTTGTTTTCGACAAGCCGTGTCCTCATCAGCACAACAACAACAACAACAACACCACCACCACCACCACCACCACCACCCCAAACATACGACCAAGAGCACCACCCACCCACCACGTCCTTGGATCGACACAACCCTCATCAAGCGAGCAACACGGCATCCAACTAGTCATCCAACCAGGACCGCTGCAAGGTGAAGGAACACAAGCGATTGCTTCTTCACGTAACATCCGCGTTCATCCTTTCTCCGTGTCGACCGCGCATGCCTGTTGCCTTGCTTGGTGTGCGTCTTTGCTCGCCATGGGATGGGTCGCGGTGCCTTTGCTTGTTCTTTGTGGTTTGAACCACCCTTCTTGCTTGCACCTCGTGCCCGTACCTGCACGTTGGTGTCTTGTGCTTGCACTTCGTGCTTGTGCTGGCGCTGGTGTTATCAACCTGATCGCTTTGCGTATACGCAGTCGACACAGCATTCGACACATCATTTGATGTATATCGCACTTGTACACGGGTGTGGGTCTTGTTTGATTGTTCTTGTCGATGTCTGCTTCCTGTCACTGCAAAAACATACTCATGCATGAACGCACCCACACACACCACACACGCGCACACACTACTACACACACACACACACACGCACACACCACACCCGCGTACACACTACCACACACACACACACGCACGCACCACCACCACGCACACTACCACACACACGCACACACACGCACACACCACTACAAACACACACTCATGTACAGACTGGCGTGACTTGTCGACATGAGCTCCCACCAACCGAGCGATGGCTTGACTGCAACAAACAGCTCTGTCGACGACAGCCAAGCCCGTCAACAGGGCCACCAGCACCGTGTGCAACGGCTGGCAGCGACCGCCGCCGATGATGCCCAGGAGTCGCCCGCAAGCAAGCGCGCAAAGCTGAGCAACGACAGCAACACCCAGGCAGCCTCAATCGACACACCCCAACTACAGCTGCAGCCACAGCGACAAGTCGCAGCAACAACAACAACAACAAACCCGCAGGCTGGTCATGAGCTCCAGCCACAACCAACCACATCGGATATCGTGGCACATGCCGTCCTTCACCACCTGCGCGAGATTGTGCCGCTCCTGAAGGACCCCCGGCAGCGTCCACACGCTGCCGCAACCCTGCGCACCCTCCTCACCAGCGGCGAACTGGCAATGCAGCTCGCCTCCTCACCCATCATCAGGGACTTGCAGGACGGGGTCCGCACCACCATCGACCCCAAAATTTCTGAGCAGCAACAGCACGAACAACAACAGCAGCAGCAGCAGCAGCAGCAGCAGCAACAACAACAACAACAACAACAACAACCGCAAGAGCAACAGCAGCGGCAAGACGAGTCCACTGGCGCGCTTGTTCCAGTCAACGCAGTGGGTGTACTGCCTGCCGTTGGGGAGGGCAAACACCCCGAATACGGCAACGACGATGCAACAAATGACGGGGCCGCCGATGAGGGGCCGGACGAGCTGGACGCAGCGAGCACAGACTCTGACGAAACAGTCAGTGGTCGCTCCACCCCCATCAACGCGCAAACTACCAGCGCAACCACCAACAGTAATCGCGCCGAAACGAACGCTGCACTCACCACCGCGTCTGCAAACAGCCCACATCCCCACCAGCATCCACAGCAACAGCAGCAGCATAGTACTGGGCAGCGGGCGGCGCGCGCGAGCCTGTCGACATCTTCATCGGCATCGCCACAGTCCCGCGCACCAAGCACGACCGACAGCGACGCCGGCGATGGCGATTTGCCGAGCAAGCGAAGCAAGCGCATGACCCCGCCCTCAGCGGTGCCCCACCAGCGTGGCGGTGTCACAGGGGAGTCGCAGCGGGCGCTGGTGGCACGGCTGTTCCCTCGGCGCGACACATGCGCCAACATCCTCATGCACGTCGCCGTGCGCTTCCCGCACATGTCCCGGCTGGTGGTGGAGACGCTTGGGCAGGAGCAGCTGCTGAACGAGCTTGCGTCACAGGGGGACGAGAAGGCTGCGGTTCGGGTGCTGGTGGAGGCCAAGGCCCTGCCCTACGCGGTACAGCGGTTCGTGGGCAGCCCACATCAGCAACACCCGTACCTGCTGGTGCTGCTGGAGCACACCACCCTGGCCGACCTCATTGCAAAGGCGCTGCGGACAGATGAACTGTCGTTTCTGCGCCAGTGGGTCGGCACCACAGCCATCAGCAGCAACAGCAGCAACAGCAGCAACAGGAGCGACAGCGACGCCTCCAGGCCGGACGTAGCAACGCCAGCGCCAATGATGTCGGTACTTGCGCTGTGTCGCATGCTTCACGCCGTGTGCACGACATTCCCGTTTGACGCGGTGTCGCCGCACGTGTCCCGCATCGACGTGCTGGCGCAGATGGCGTGCACCGCCGACGACAAGCGGCACATGTTTTCCCTCCTCGTGGCCATGGCAAAGGCAGACGCGCGCTGGAAGCGGCGGGTGGTGGATGCGTTTGGGGCGCCATACTTTGCGGCCATCATTGAGAGCGCCATCGTGCCATTGGACGTGCGTGTCCTGTGCAGCCAGTTTATGGCCATGGCGGTGTCGGACCAGCGCGTGGCGCAGGCGTTTGCGGACGCCATGTCCTGCGACGTGTTGCGCAACGTGCTGCTGAGCACCATCCAGGAGCCGCTCGCCCGCGGCCTGCTGGAGCTGCTGCTGGAGGTGGCCAAGAGGGTACAGCTGACGTCGCACCAGGTGTCCAGCCTGCTTCACGAGCGCTACATTGCCATGGTCACGCACGCGCCCACGCGCACGGTGGTGATCAAGCTGTTCAACACGCTGCGGGAGCGCGGGTACGAGCAGGCGGTTGCAGAGCACGTCAACGTGCAGTCGTGGCTCGGCTGCCTGTCGGACGCCTCTGTGCAGCTGCGCATCCTCATCCTCAAGTTTCTGGTGGAGCTGCCGCGCTCCAAGTACACACAGCTGCACCCGCTCTCTGAGCAGCTGATGCAGCTGGGGCACCTGCTGGAGCACCCCTCGCTGAACCTGCGCGCCAGCATCACCGCCCTCTTCCGGCACCTTGCCTCGGGCAGCGAGGACAGGAAGGTTGCCATCTTCCAGTGTGTGCAGCACCACCTGCAGCCGCTGCGGAACGTGCTGCAGGCGCCCATCTCCGACCCGCCCCGCCGCTACATCAACGCCGTGGTGGTGCGCGAGGTGCTTGCGTTTTTCAAGTGCATGACCTCTGTGGAAGGCCCGCGCAAGATGCGCATCTTCACCTCCATCGACCCGCACGCGGTGGCGGCGCTGCTGTTTGACACGCGGGACGTGCAGGTGCAGGAGCAGGCCGCGGGCTTTCTGCGCAACCTCACCCACGGCGACAACCACCGCAAGCAGATTATCTTCCAGAGCCTGCCCGGGCGGCTGCAGTCGCTGCTGCACAGCCCGTCGGCGCGCGTGGTGCAGTCTGTCGCCGGGCTGCTGCAGAACCTGTGCACGCGCAGCGAGGCCCGCAGGGCGCGCGTGTTTGACCGGCTGAACCTGAACGACATTGTTGGGCTGCTGAAACACCCCGACCCGCACGTGAAGGCGCCCGCGGCGGGGCTGCTCATGAACCTGTGCCGCACAGACCACCGGCGCAAGCTGGCCATTGTCAAGGCCGTGCCCTTGAACCTCATCCACTCGTTTTACAACAACGGGCAGCTGCATCGCGCGTGTCGGGAGCAGGTCAACGGCCTGATCCAGCACCTCACTGCCGCCTTTTCGTCGCTCGTTGCCGACGGGTACATCCTCAACGACATGCAGCTGCCCTTTGTGCGCAACGCCGATGGGTCCACGGCACCGCCACCGCCGCCTCCACCTCCACCGCCGCCTGATGACGGAAACGACGGGCCCCCTGGCAACAACGGTGGAGGGCCTGGCCCAGGCCACCGCCACAACCACCACCATCGCCGTATCCAGCACGTGCACGTGCATGCGCACCTCCACCCACACCAACACCAGCACCAACACCAGCAGCATCAGCAGCATCAGCAACAGCACCAGCAACAGCAGCCGCACGGTGGCGGCCCTGGTGGCGCTGGCACTGGTGCTGGCGGTGGAGGTGGAGGCCCCAACCGGGGTGGCGTGAACCGCGGCCACCCGCAGGCGAGAGCAGCGACTGCAGCTGGCGCGCAGCCCGGGCAGCGGCGGTACTACCTGCGCGGCAGGGCGTTTGAGAATGCCACGCGAGGTGGTGCCGCCGCCGCCGTGGCACGACGTGTGAGTACAAGCGACAATGGCGCAGCTGCGAGGAGACGAGGGCAGCCTCCCGTGTTTCTCACCGGGCGCCATCGGCGAGAGTGGGAGCAGCAGTATCAACAGCTTCAGCAGGACCAGGAGCAGGAGCGTCGGCGGCGGCAGCAGTTGCGCGAGCAGGAGCAGGAGCGTCAACGGCGGCAGCAGTTGCGCGAGCAGTACATGGCGTTGCGTAGGCGGCAGCGGCAGCAGCAGCGGCAACAACAACAACAACAACAACAACAACAACAACAACAGCAACAGCAACAGCAACAGCAACATCAGCAAGGAGGCAACCAAGAAGGCTCGAGCAACAATGGGCCGAGTGAGCAGCGCGGGCAATAGCCCCCACATACAGGCCGCTTACCTCTTTGTTGTAATGGCTGCAGTGATTGGGCAACTGGCATTTGCGGTGTTTGAAGCGTGTGCATGGTGTGAGTGTGTGTGTGTGTGTGTGTGTGCGTGTGTGTGTGTGTGCGTGTGTGTGTCTGTGTGTTGCAGTTGGCGTGCATGGCCATGCCAGTGTTGTATGGGTGGTGGTGATGACGTTTGGCGCAGTGACGAGTGTATTGGAGCGATATGACATGCCATGAATGCGAGCTGCATGGGTGCGTTTCATGGTGCGAAGGCTTGTATTTGTGGGGTCGCTCCTGAGACGTGTAAACGGCTGCGTTTTTATCTTGTGACCAGACCACAGGCATTGCCACCGTTGCGTGTGGCGGGAGAGGGGGGCAAAGTGCAAGGGGGAAGGAGGAAGTTTAACATCACAGGGGAGATGAGACATGCAGAGTGGCAGGGTTCAGACCGAGTGGGCACACGCACTGAGTGAGGGAAACAAGGGAGAGACGCATGACACGAACCAGAGAAAAAGTGGGTGTGGCGGAGGATGTGTGCCTTATGTATTGCGCAGTTTGCCAGCCGTGCAGTGTAACAGCCGTGTGACAAGGGGGGGGGGCGTGAGGTTACCAGCCAAGCGGCTTCTGGGCCACGACTTGAAGGCCGCCAAGGTTTCCTCCCTTGTACAGGTCGGCCACAGTGGAGTAGAAGCGAAGCATGCGGTCAAACACGTCCTGACCAACAATGGCACCCGTCTCCTTGCGCTTTGCAGTGAGGGCATTGACGCGCTCGCGTGTGTACGCCGTCCAGTCCTCAGACATGTCCTCAAGCGTCGTCACCTGCACGCACGGGCGGGTGTGTGCGTGAATGTAGACGTGTGCAATGCGATGTGTGCGCGCGCGTGTGTGGTGATTGTGTGTGTGTGTGTGTGTGTGATTATGTGTGTGTGTGTGTGTGTGTGTGTGTGTGTGTGTGAGGAAGGGGGCAAACGTGAACATGAGCGAACATATAAATATGTGTGTATGCGTGAAAGTATGTATGTGTGAGGACGACGCACCTTGAAGCCAGCGAGTTCGAGCTCGTGCTTGTAGTCTTCGAGAGAGGCAGCGAGTGTTTCGCAGCCAACCTCATCCGCAAGTGTCTGTCATGTATGCGTGTCATCAAACCCAAGATTGTGGCATGGTCAGCAGTTTGTCGCATGTAAGCCAGAGGAGCAGCAACCTCAGTGTGTCATACACAAACACGCAAACGACACGAAGCACATGCACATGCACGCACACGACACGAAGCACATGCACGCACACGACACGAAACACACACACACACACACGACACGAAACACACACACACACACACACATGCACACAAGAACCAGCCTGCTTCTCTTCGGCGGTGAGTGCGCCACGAGCGAAAAAGTCGGCGGCGAAGAAAAACCCGCCGGGGCGCAGCAGCTCGTGGCACTGACGGAAGAGGCTGAGCCGATCTTGAAAGTGGAGCACGGTCAGCCACGAGACAACGGCGTCGTAGCCGCTGCGCTGCAGGTGCTGGGACAGCGGCATAAAGTCGCCCGTCATGTGATGCACTTTGCTGGTCATGCCACACCTGTGTTGTTGCCCAACAAAATGGGAATGTGAGGGAGGGGGATGCATGTTAAGACGCAGAGCGACCGCTGTACGTGTGTGTGTGCATGTGCATGTGCATGTGTGTGTGTTGTCATGTGTGTGGGTGTGTGGGTGCATGTGCATGTGTGTGTGTTGTCATGTGTGTGTGTGTGTATTTGTGTGTATGTGAACAGTGGCGCGGTGCACCGATAGTTCACCTGCTCGTCATCTCCATTGCTGTCCTGCTGAGATCTTCCTGAATCTCGCACGCCAGCACCTGCATGCGTGTGTGTGTCATGGATATGAAGGATGGTGTGACAGCGTCTGTGAGCTGTGATTGTGGATTGCAGACGAAGCCATGCATGTGGTCAATTGTGCGTGCGGGTGGCTGTATGTGCTCACCAAACAGCCCGTGGTTGCGGCCATGTAGCGGCTTGGTCCTCCGAGTCCAGACCCGATGTTGATGACGCGGCTGCGCTCAGAGATGTGGCACTGACAGCCAGCACCAAGCATCAAGGGAACACGGGGAATTGGAAATGAGGGTGGAGTGGTTGCACATATGCACACACGTGAGCATACGCGCAAGGATGTGTTTTGACACGCGCATATGTGTGTGTGTGTGTGTGTGTGTGCGTTTGAGGACAACAGACTGCGTGCTGTGCGTGCTGTAAACGAGGCGCCATATCATGTCCACCAGCATATCTGCTGCCCAGTGTTTGCCACCTTTGCAATGACGTCGTCGACGGCTGCGGTGCCGTGGTAGTGGTGCTGGTCAAAAGGGATTAGGTCTGTGTACTTGAGCGGACCCGTGCTCAGCCCGTTGGCGGCTAGCTGCTTGTACAGGGACACCACCTGCACATGCGCGCGTCCAGCAAGACACAACAGCATTCTCATCAGCACGTGAGCGTGTCATTGCATAATGTAACTACCCGTGTCACATGTGAGTGCACACATTAAGCTCACAGTCGCAGAGTCGCACGCAAAGGCAGCCCAAGTGTGCACGCGCAGCAGGTGAACGTGTGAGCCAACGTGTGCGCCCAGGCCACAGCAAGAAGCGAGATCGCAAACGAACCAGTTCTGAACGGTCATAGAGTTTCATGGACCGCAGGTCGCGCTTGAGCTCCGCAACGCGCGTGTCGAGGAGCTTGCTGACGTCCACGTGTTCATCTGGCGGCAGGCGCTTGCACACCTGCAATGCCTGCACGGCCTTCTCCAAGGCGGCCTCTGAGATGAAGCGGTTGGCAACAATGTCCACGCCTTCGTACCACGCCTTGGCGTCCTCTTGCTTCAGACCTGCACATATGTTCGTGAACGTGCGCGAATGCGTGAGACACGCATCACATAGCAGTAGCTCTGTGTGTGTGTGTGGGGGGGGGGATTGTGCGTGCGTGTTTCGTGTCGTGTGCAAGTGTGTGGGATTGTGCGTGTGTGTGCATGCGTATGTGTGTGTGTGCATACGTATGTGCGTGTGTGTGTGTGTGTGTGCGTGTGTGCGGACCGTAGTGCTTGGCGATGAGAGGTGGCATGGCCTCTGTTTCCGTGTGGAAGAGCTGTGCTGCCTCATGAACCGCTGCCAAACACGCTTGGATCTGTCAACAAAATCAGAGCACGCGCACACACATCGACACCCAAATTGAGAAGTTGGTGGACAGCGGTGTGAGCAAGAGGAGCAGTGTGTATGTTTGGGGGGGGGACGGAATGAGCTACACAGGGACAGTGATGATGATGATGATGATGATGATGATGATGATGATGATGATGATGATGATGATGATGATGATGATGATGATGATGATGATGATGATGATGATGATGATGATGATGATGATGATGGTGGTGGTGGTGGTGGTGATGATACCTCAGGCAAGCGCTCGTCGATGACAGACTGCCGGGCGGCAATCATGAAGCACGGCCACGGCGTGGTGATGTCTCCAATCCGCCGCACAGTCCCTGCCAAGTTGCATCGGCATGTGTGTGTGTGGGGGGGGGAGGGGTGTTTGTGAGTAATGCACACGTTCCATGGGACGTACGCGAGTGTGGTTGTGATTGTGCAGCAGATGCTGCCCTCAGCACTTGCTAGGAGTACCTGCGTCATGGTACGGCTTGGTGGTGAATGTTTCCCAGAGAAACGCATCGGTGGACAGGTCATCCACGCCCGTGCACAGCTGGTTGATGTCGCCCTTCACCTCAAACGAGATTTCTTCCGGGTTCCAACCTGCAAATGCGTTTGCAAAGGCTCAACATCAGAGAATGCGGTGTGTGTGTATGTGTGTGTGTGTGTATGTGTGTGTATGTGTGCGTGCGCGCCACCAGACGTGCAATAGACAGGCACACACGACCGCACGACCGCACACAAAACTGTACACCCACACATACACACACACACACAGAATTACGCACCGCGTTGGATGGCGAGGACGTAGGCCATGAGCTGGGAGCCACTGCCGATGCGGCTGACGCCAAACTTGCCCTTGCGCAGATCCTCCACGCTGTTGATGGACGACTTGTTCCCGGTGGAGATGGCCCACGTGAGCGGCGACCCCTGTGGCATGGACGTATGTTGTGGTAGTCGTTTGGCGCCCATGTGGGGTGGCATGTGGTGTAGGATGTGAGGGCTGAAGGCTGCGTACGATGACGACTGAAAGTTGTTATGTATGAGGACAGCAGCAGGCCCACGCAACACTGGCTCGATTGCGCACGTTCCGATTGTGCAATCGCACGCGTGTGCGCGTTACAGGTGTTGCAGACTCTACGCACGCACCACGTATGTGCCGAGAAGTCGAAGGTCGGAGCCGCTGGCAATGTCTGCGACGAGGCCTTCTGTGAGGGCAATGATGAGGTCCAGGCTGCCGTCCTTGGCTGCTGACACCATGGCCCCCGTGCCCAGCTTCTGCTCCCGAAAGTCAACCTGTGTGTGTGCGTGTGTGAGTGTGTGTGTGTGTGTGTATGTGCGTGTGTGTGTATGTATGTGCGTGCGTGTGTGTGTGTGTGTGTGTGTGTGTGTGTGTGCGTGTGTGTATGTATGTGTGTGCCGGCAACTGTGTGCCGCTGTGACATTGCGTGTCTTTCATCCCCACTCTCTCACTTTCACCCTTTCCCCCACTCTCAAGTTGGGGTGTGCTCTGACCTCGACGCCGCAGCGCTTGAAGATGCCGCGCTCCTGTGCCATCCGCCATGGGTAGTTGAAGTGCTCTGGAACACCACCAACGACCAACGGCCGCTTGGCTCGCTTGGCATCCGTCTCGCTCATCTCCTTGATTCCGCTGTGGTTGATTGATGTCCTGTGGGCGTTGTGCTGCAGGTAACGTGCTGCGGGTGATGTGGCGTGAGGTGATGTGCTGTGGGTGATGTGATGATGTGGCTCGCAGTTTGTCCTTCTTTGGTGTGTTGTGCAAGCAAGGTCGGTGTTGGTGGAAATGCTTGGCTGGTCCTGCCTGCCTCAAATCAGTTGTTGCTTCACTTGCGTCTTGTTTGCCGCTTTTGCTGACATACAAATGCTGACTCAGCAATAATCGTTTCCTGCACGCAGCGCCGATCGATGATGATGAGCAGCAACAACAGTGTCAGCGACAGTGGCGACGGCAGCGCCGAGCTCTTGCAGCTCGCTGTCCTTCCTGCATGTCTCCTCGCAGCAGAGGTCGGTGGGCGTGCGTGTGCATGTGTGTGACGTGCGATGCGTGGGTGTGACGTGCGATGTGTGTGTGTGTGTGTGTGTGACGTGCGATGCGTCGGTGTGACGTGCGATGTGTGTGTGTGTGCATGTGTGTGACGTGCGATGTGTGTGTGTGTGTGTGTGGCTGTGTCTGTAACATGCACACACACACACACACACTCTCTCTCTCTCCATCCCATATCTCTCTCCCCCTCTCTGTCCTTCTTTCTCTACCTATCTGTGTTGTAACAATCCGACGTCATCATGGCCATGTCACATCACACGCAATGCTGAAATAGCCCGCAATAGCGAGCGCGCAGTACATGTCACATGAGATGGGATGATGTGGCATGGCATCCACACACACAAACACACATACACACAAACACACATACACACAAAACATGCAAGTAAGGTGACATGCCGGTGCTTTCTCTTTTTGTGCATTTCTAGGTGGCTTATGTCTGGTACTGCGCAACTGTGAGGCACGCAGAGCCCTCTGAGGACACCAAGGAGCAGTTGCACACCGCTCACCGCAAGCCCCAACCATATGAACTCACAAACCTCGGCTACGACTTTCACATCAACACGCCCTACTCCTTTGGCATCCGACCCACATCGTCCAACAGCCCGCACCCAAACGGCTCGTTCTATGGCGGCGTCGCCCTCCCAGACATACACGTTTCCATCACCCACGTTGATTCGTAAGTGAATTGCGTGTGTGTGTCTGTGTGTGTGTCTGTGTGTGTCTGTGCCTGTGTCTCAGTGTGTCTCAGTGCGTAGCGTTGAGCATGTCTGTGTCTGTGTGTCTGTGTCTGTGGTTGTGGTTGCGTTTGTGTCTGTGTCTGTGTCTGTGTCTGTGTCTGTGTGAACGATGGGATAAACCTGCACTTGGACTTCACAAGACACACACACACGCCACCGACCGTTTGCTTTGCATCTTCACACAAAGGTCACCTCTGCATTCTGCAACCAACACACACACACTCACGCACGCACAACTGTGTGCAGTCAAGAGCCTGCGGAAGTGTACAAAGTGGACGTGCATGATGGATCGTACATTGTGTCGTTCATGTCAGGGATCACGGGTCTGCACGAGATTGAGGCCAGAGTGAACGGCCATCACATTGAAGACTCGCCACGACTCATCCTGCTCCAATGAATGCGTGAATGGATGCATGACGGAACGTTCTGTGTTGATGCGGTGACGCGTGCCTGTTATCTACGTCAGCCGCGTCCCTCTCGCAAACGTTGCTTTGCATCACGTGCCGAGAAGATGATGTCACATCATCGCAGCACAACAATGTAAACTGTAATGTAGCTTTGCTTCTTGCTTGATCGTGCTATGAAATGATTGCGTGTATTCTTGTTTCAAGCTCCATCGGGAGCCCGCGTGTACATAAAGAAGGCAAAGCCTAGTTCGTATGTCATCCAAACGACACACTCCGTGCACACACAACCCAACACACACACACACCCAACACACACCATACAGACAGATAGACACCTGCTGCGTATCATCCTTGTGCTGGGAGCTGGTGCAGCATGACGCGTGCTGCTGCGCGAGGCGCCAGTTCGAGCCCTTTGCTGAAGTACAGGCACACCTTCATGCGGTCTTGGTCCTTGTCAAACCACGCTGGAAGAAACTGCGCCTTGGTCCGCCCTTCATCATCATCATCATTGGTGTCACTGTCACTCTCATCATCGCCGTGGTCGTGCTTCTTGCTCCTCTTATTCTTGATCTCCTTCTTCTTCTGCTGCTTCTTGCTGCGTTTGCTCGGTGGCTGCGACGATCTATCACAATCACC